GAAGAGATATGTCAAGCTGGACTAGAAAAAACATCAATACTATACTTGTTTTTTTTGCATTTACCAGAAAGAGAATCAAGGCCACAGTCATTAAGGTATGGTAAGGGTTTTGTTGAGGATTTCACAGGAAGCCAGAGCAAGAAGCCAAAGACTGCAGTTTTATCAGTGTTGTGCCCACTGCAGACACACAGGTCCTTTCTTCATGGCTTCCCTGGTGGGGTGTGGGGACCATCTTGCGCCTCATGCAGAGGCCAGCCTCACCCCAGGCTCATCCCCACTCCAGGATCTTCCCCTCCTACCTGCATCAGCCTCTTTCCTTCCTCACTCAGGACGGCCTGGCCCTGTCAGCCCAGGGGCTCCCAGCCCTACTCCAGCTTGCTCAGCCAAGAAAGGGCTCGTCAGAAACCAGAGACCTTAGAAGGCAGAGGGCAGTATAAATGATAACCAAAGGTTTTTTTTTTGTCACCTTTACAAATTGCTGCTCCTGGCTTCTCATGGCCACCTTTCATCACACACAGAAGTGTCACACATAGTAGTTCATGTCAGTATCACACAAACTGATCTGTCTTCCCTGTGAGCCTCTTCTCTAAGCAGGTCAGCTGCAGAGGTGAGGCACTGCAGACAGACTCTCCTTATGGGGCCCAGGAGGCAGCCAGGACCCCCGTCACACTACCAGGTTCCAATAGCTGTGCCCATGCAGTGGGTCAGGCCAGTCTGGTGGGAGCTGGCCACGGGCTGAGGCTGGCGCATGCTGGTGTGCAGGCGCTGCAGATGTGTGTGGAAAAGCTGACCCCTGGCTAAGACCCACCCTGTCAGGGAAGGTGGGACTGCTTCTGCTTTGGGAAGCACAGCATGCAGGACGTGCTGGTGGTCACCACCGTGAGCCCACCATGTGGGTGTGGCACAGGAGGACTCACTGCTCAGGGCTCAGCCATTTCACTGCACGCGTCCTCTGGCCTCAGCAGGGGTGGAAGAGAGAGTCCTTCACCAGGGCGCCACCAGCACTGCAGTCCCAGGCTGTCGTCTGAGGCCTACTCTGAGCCCACCACCAGAATGTTGGCATGAGGATAGACGTGGTCCCTGCCTTCATGGGGTGCACACCGCAAACAAGGCGACCCAGGCGAGGTCAGAACTAACGAGCTGCAGGGAGCACAGAGGGCGGGGCCGGGGAGAGCGGGGGCGGGGAAGTGGGGGGCGGATTCTGGCCAGGAGAGACAGGATCCCACTGGCATTTTGTATGGCTCCCTTGGCCACTCTGCACAGAGGAGGGCAGGCTGGAGGGAAAGGCCAGGAGCCGGAGGTCAGCACGGGGGTGCCACAGGTGTCCAGGCAAGCGGGGACGGAGCATGCGTCGGGAAGTGACAGCTGGGAAGTGGTCCCCGTAGAGATGAAGGCGGAGCTGCTGCTAACGTGGAGAGGAGGGAGGCTCTCGGGTTCATTCACAGAGACAGGTGGGGGCAGGGAGGAAGCAGGACTTCTGTTTGGGTCCCACTGAGTTTGGGGCGGCATGGTAAGGAGACAGCTGGACCCAGGAGTCTGAAGGCCCCTGCATCTGCATTCTGAGCCTCGGTTTCCTCATCTGCACAGGGCACGACTGTCCTGCTCCATCCTCTTAGGGCTGCCTGTGAGGTCCAGGCAGATCACAGCTGTCCTGGCCTCGGGGTGTGACCTGCAGCCGCCAGGCCCTCTCAGTCCGGCATCCTCCTTGACTCCAGCCCCATTCCACTTCCCCAAATGCCCTTCCTTCTGCTTCTTCCACTCCCAGGCAGCAGCAAGAAGCGGGTGCCGAGGAGGGGTAGGACCACGTTGGCTGAGCCCACAGCAGGTGGTGGGCCAGCCCTGGAGCCTCAGTGGACAGGGTGGCCAAGGGGCAGCCCAGGACCCTCCTCGCAGCCAAGGGGCTCCTGCATTTGCTGGGGAGTTTCATGAGTTCAGAGATGAGCGGAGAGGGCAGTGATTTCTCCCCACGTGTCTGCTCCCAGATCCACCCACAAACTGGCCTGGGTCCCACTGAGGCTCCCGGTGGGTCAGGGCAGGTTGGTGACCACACAACCATGACAGTGATGGGGTGTGACGCAGGATAAACTGACGGAGGAGCTTCACCACAGGTGGGGAGACAGAGGCTCCTGGAAGAAACGACCTGGCAAAGGTCACAGGCTGTGTGTGAAGGCAGACACCAGAGCAGCTGCCCCCGGCTCTGTGTTCTGGGACGGTTAGGGCTGGGGCTGTGCCCAGATGGGAATGTCCATGCAGAGCCAGAGTGAGCAGATCTGGGGTGTGGCACCAAGCCTCAGGGCAGAGTGGGGTGCTGGCACCAAGCCTCAGGGCAGAGTTGGGTGCTGGCACCAAGCCTCAGGGTGCAGAGTGGGGTGCTGGCACCAAGCCTCAGGGCAGAGTGGGGTGCTGGCACCAAGCCTCAGGGCAGAGTGGGGTGTTGGCCAGCACCAGCCAGGGTCAGGCTGACTGTCCACATTCCTCTCTCCTGCCTTTGGGCTCTGCAGGGCACCGCCCACTCTCAATCCTCAAATCCTCCCTACCTCTGCTCAGGGCTCTGTCAGGGGTTCTGATGCCAAAGAAATGGAGCTTTTCCCGTGACCTCAAGCCCATGCTGCAGGTGGGGGCTGTGCCAGGGGCCAGGGCTTCCGAGTAGTGGGCAGGGAACAGAAATTCCCTCTTACTCCCGGAATCTGCCCCCAGGAAGCCGCTCCACCTGCACAGGCTCCGCGGACCATTGCAAGCTCCGTCTTCCTCAGCCACGGGCAGCTCCTGCTTGGCAGGCTAGCCAGTGCTCCACCCCTCGGCAGCATTACCTCCGCGTGTAGAACCTCAGCAATTAAATGCACTTTCAACACTTTCAGAGCCTTACAGCTTACCACAAACACAGGAACTACGACACAGAAAAGCAGCAAAACGAAGGGTCCCTTCTGGAAGGGGCCACCCGCCATGTGCCAGAGCTGCCTTGCCAGGGCCAGAACCCACGTGCTGTTTCTGACGAAGACTGGAGAAGCACCAGGTCACGCGAGAGCGCTTCTAATTTCTCCTGTGACTTGTGGGCAGCGTCAGAGGGAGCCACTTCTGTTCATTCAGACAACAAGCCTACTCTTGGCCAAGCAATGGGCCGGAGGTGGGGGAGAGCTGAGGTCCCTGCAGCGGGATGGGGCTGGAAGGTCCTGGCTGGGCCTGACATGTGAGTCTGGGTCCAGGGCCTGTGAGCACCATGCCCCCGCTGACTAGAGCTGGGCAGGAGCCAGAGCCAGGGGCCTCAGAAGAGGGTCTGCTTGGCCCAGGTGGGCATGGGAGGCCCCAGGGAGGTCCACCTCCTTCAGAACAAATACCTCCCTTCTTTCCATCTGGCTTCAGCTCTAACCTGCTGCCAAGCACCCTTTCTCTCTCCAGCCTGACCACAGAGCCCTCAGTTGCTCCGGGCAAGGTGTCCTGGGCACCACACCTCAAGCGTTCCGTTTTCCTTCCTGCTAAGCAAACAGAAAGGCGAAGCGCACTGCAGGCACCACGGCCCGAATGTTTTTCAAACAGTATCTGTTTCCGGAGAAAGCTCTGATGGAGACACATGTTTTGTTAGCAGCCGGAAGGTTCATTTCTGACAAAACCCTTGTTTTCCTAGCAGATCTTCCCACGTTAGAGCGCTTTCCCCCAGTGGTTCTGGCAAGGGTAGATGTTTTTGGTGAGGCTGTTCCGTGGGTTAACCATTTCAATAACATTTTCATCTGCGACTCCCAGTGGGAAAGTTGAGCCTGGCCCAAATGCCTAGGGAGCCTTTTGAGCTCTGTTAGGATGGTGCCAACGTGAGTGCCCCATTCCTAAGGCATACAGGCCTCCTCCAGCTCCGGCCAACCCCGAGCGCTGCTCTGCCCACCCACCTCGCACTTCTGGGAGTCAGTCCCGCTCCTCTGCCCAAGTCCTGGGCCAGAGGGACTTTGGGGGTAGCAATGACAGCACAGCTGCTCCTCCCACCGCATCAGGTTGCCCAGAGCGGCCACCACGTGCGGGAGGCCTTCCTGAGCAGGTGGGGAAACCCAGTGGGTGCTGTGGGTGGTGTTGGTGGCTGTGGGGTGGGAGGCGCATTGGAGGGTGCGGGGTGGAGGAGGCCTGGGGGGTGGGGGTGGGGGTGGGTAGGGGCGATGACAGCCATGCTCAGGATTCGGACAGTGACAACTGGAAGCTGGGGACTGTGGGGATGGCAGCGGTGGTGGGCTGAAGGAGGTGGTGTTGATGTGGAGCTGGCAGTGCAGGTGGGGTTACTCTGCAGCACGGATGGCAGAGGCCATGTGGCTGGCGGTGGGCTGAGGCTGGGGGTGGGTGAGGGTAAGGGAGGGCTGATGGTGGAAGTGGCAGCGGTGACGGAGCTGGAGGGGACTCTACTTGAGGCTGGCCCAGCAGTTTTCTAGATATGACCTGGGCTGTTTCAGGGAACCGCCAGGTGCCAGTGCAGTCCCGGCGAGTGCTCCCGACAGTCACCAGGTGCAGCATGTTACTCCCTGGGCGGCCACAAAGGCCTGGCCCAGGGTCACACTCTGGGAGCTGCGGAGACAGAAGCGGCACTCGGGCCGGTCCGAGCTGAGCTGAGCGTGTGGTCCTGAGTCCCTGGCCGCAGTTTGGAGGATCTGAGCCTGAGCAGCCAGCCCCCGACTGCGGGGAGGAGGGGAGGGAGGGACGAGCCTGCCTGCGCGGGTCTGCGGAGAAACCAGCGGTGCCCCAGGGCCTGACCCCGGGGTCCGAGGAGGCGCCGCCACCTTCGCAGGCCAGGCGCCCCACTCGGGAAACTGAGGCCCGGGAGGCCGCATCGCCGTGAAACGTGAAGACCGGGGCGGTCCCGGCCCCTGGTCCGCCCCGGGGTGCCGCGCTCCGCTCCCCGCCCCGCCCGCTCCCCCCGCCGGCCGCTGTCCTCAGTCCACCTCGGCGCCCGGTGCCAAGCGGCTGGCGGCGGAGTCCGGGCCCGGCGGGCAGCGCCCCCCCACCCGGCCCGAGCCCGGGATACTCACGAAGAGCCCGGAGTGCCGCGCGCCGAAGAAGGGGAAGGGCCCCGAGAGCGGCCGCAGCCCCGAGCCGCCGTCGTCCTGCTTGGGGGTGACGGCGTCGCCGCGCTCCGCGCCAAACGGGTAGAAGTCGGCGAGCGCCACCGCGCCGCGCACCCCGCGCGCCCCGAGCCCCAGGGCCGCGGCCGCCAGCAGCGCCCAGGCGACGCCGAGCCGCATCGCGCGGGGAGCGCGGGACGGGGCGGGGGGGCGGGCGTCGGGGCTGAGGCTGCGCGCGGGGGTGGCCGGGCGGGGCGCGGGGGGCGCGGGGGGCGCGGGGGGCGCGGGGGCCGCGCCGTCGGGGGCTCCGCGTTCTGTGCCCGCTCGGCCGGGCCGCGCTCTCGCTGCCGCTCCGCGGAGGTCGGCGCCTGGCGGGAGCGCGTTCGGGGCCGGCCCCGCCCCTGGGGCCGCGATTTAAATATCCAGCCCGGCGGTCACTCGTCCGGGGCGGGGCCGCGCGGAACGGGCGGCTCTTAAAGCGCCAGGCCCCGTGGGAGAGCGCGGCGCGCGGGCGGCTCCGTCCACGCTCCTCCCCGTCCCCAGCCCGGAGGGGGCGCCGGGACCCTGAGGGCTGTCCCGGGACAGACCTGTGTCCCCTGCGTCCCCTGCGTCCCTAAGGCCCGAGGGGCTGGGCCGGCCTCGAAGGCGTGACTTCACGGGGTAGGGGGCGCCGTGGCCGGGCAGCGCCTGGATGAACTTTCTCAGAGTGGCCAGAGGCCTGTGCCATGAGGCCCCCTTCCCAGCCCTGAGCCTGGGGTCACCAGGCTTCCGGCCACAGCGGCACGCTGCCAGCGACCCGACTCCCTGCCTGGGTTTGTGCCAGGAAGAGCCCGGCCGGAGACTTGGAGTCAGGGAACTAAGTGATTGCGTCTGTGTGGCCACATGAGGAGAGATTCCTGGGAGGCTCGGGACCTCGGGTCGACCCCTGGGTAAAGACCCTCCATGGGAAAGACTGGTCCACTCAGGCCCTGGGGGCAAGTGGGCCCGTGACACCGGCCTTGGCAGGCAGGGACAGGACCCTGAGTCCCTGTATTTGAATTAAGGGTCCTGACCCTGTGGCCTGCCCAGCCCTCCCCATGGCCTCTCAGGCCGCTGGCCCGGGCATCGCTCCGTGTCCATCTGTGCTTCCTCAGGGGCCCAGTCGGGACCACCTCTTTGTCCCCAGGCCCCCAGCAGGGTCTGGTTCCTGGAGCCCACCCAGCCCGCAGTGCTGTCTTAGATCCTGGTGTTGGGTGTTGCTGGCCGCGTGATGGCAGCTACCACTGAGTTTCTGGGTGGTTCCATGTCTGTCTTCGTGTTTGTATTTTCTGAAATGTCTCAAGTGAGCACGTGTTGTTTTGCGGGGAGGCCCAGATGCAGTTATTTTTCAGAAGCGTAGGAGGGTTCTCTGTGTGTGAGGGGCTTGCTGGTTCTCACAGACCCTGCACTTAGTGCCTTCACTCAGAGGTTCACGACCCTTTAGACCTGGCGTCAGGGCCAGGTGCGGGACTTTTAGGGGGGACCCTGCACTGGCATGGCCCTGACAGTCGGTGCCCCCTGAGAGCTTGTGCCTGGCGCCTTTCCCACCCTGCATGGGGTGGCGACTCTACTTGCAGAGAGGTGAGCTGAGCCGGGGAGGGGAAGGGCTCTGTCCTGCAGCTAGCCCTTGGGTCATGGTCCCAGCTCTCAGAGTTCCAAGACAGCAGCACAGCCATGGTTCCAGGGTCAGGACGGCCAAGTTCCTCCTGGGAGGAACCAGAGAGGGCATGGAACTGTAGAATCCCAACTTGAGGCCGGCTCTCAGAGTGAACCTGGGTGGAGAGACGTGTCTCCACGCACAGACGCACCCTCACTCACATGCACGGAGGCGGCACGCACACACCCAGGGCCTCAGGGACATGCTTTAACCCCTTCCTCAGCCCAGCCCTGGCCTCCTGGGCTGGGAGGGCTGCTCCTGCCTCCTGCTGGCCTGGCACAGGCCATGGGGTCAGGACAAGGCCCCATGCAGCAGCCTCAGGAACAGAGCAGCCAGGCGTCACCGAGGCGGGAAGCAGGAGGAACGCTTTTTTATCTGCCTTTTCTCTACAGAAACCTGGCAGCCCTCCTTTCGGTGCCTTTGGGGCCCGGCTGGAAAGCCCTTCCTGCAGGTTTGTGAAGGTGGGAGGTGGCGGGATCTCTCCGCAGAAGAGGCATGGCCATGGCGTGTGAGGCTTTGGCCCCCACTGGTGCTGGCCCTCCGCCTGCCTTGTCCCTGCTCCCCACCCACCTCCCACCGCAAGCACCTGCTTGGCCCTCACGGCCAGCTACCCAGGCCGCAGGCGCCCTCGGCACGGCTGACCTCTTGGGCACACAAGACGGGCCGGGGGAACAACCCACTTCTGCGCTTGGTTTGGGTCAACTTGGAGGCAGGGCTGCCCAGGGCCCAGGGCACCTCGGGGCACACTGTGGCACTCAGTGGCTGCATCGAGGGGAGGCCTGTTTCTCCAGGTGGGTGGGCGGGTGGGCCTGACGGGGTCCGCTGAGCATCGTTTGGAAATGCTCAGGCCCGTCCTCTTCCCAGAGGGTTGGAGCTCGTGGCCTGGAGAGCGGCTGGCAGTGGGCCAGACCCTGTGCCCGGCCACACTCCCTTGGGCACGTAGCCTGCTGACCAGCCTGGGGAGCTGGGGGTTAACAGGCCCCAATGCTGCTGGGCATTCATTTCATTTTAAAAAAAAAAACCAGCACTACTCCGCAGGCAAAAAAGAAAAAAAATGTTTTTTTCAGGTGCTAAAAATATTATCAGGAAAGACTTTTCAGCAATGTGCTGTTTTAGGGTCCCCCCTGGACTCAAGGGCGCCTTTGTCTCTGTCACAGAAAATCCACATTTATCAAAACCAAAATTGTTTTATCAAGCAGACTCATGTTCTGTGGCCAGGAAACCTGAGCCTCCCCAACCGGCCTGTGACATTTTAATTTAGGGCCTGAGTGTGTGTGCAATTTAGATGGGGTTCCCCGGGAGCTGCCCTCAGGGTGGCCCAGGACTCGGGGCTCCACGCAGGCCAAGGGGTTGGGGTGGTGCCCTCTCCAGCCTGCACCTGGTCGGCTGGGCCTGTTTGTCGGGTCCCCGCAGAGTGGGGGTCTGGGCTGCCGGGGGCAGGGCTGGCTGGCTGTAGCCCACCCCTAACTTCCTCTCCTTCTCTCCCAGAAGTGGCAGGTGGAGTGCAGGTCCCCTGCCCCAGAAGCCCCAACCCCAAATAAACGTCCTCGTGCTCCAGAATGAGGCCAGGAGCTCACAGGGGCCAAGGGCTGCCCCACCTGCTCACCTGGTCACTGCCCTGTGGGCTGGTTGGGGTCTCGGTGCAGTTGGCACCCTGAGGAGGGGTCTGTGAAGCGGCCCTGTACCTCCTCTTTTCGTGCACGTGGAGCGGGACACGCCTTGACTCCCACGACCGGACCTCTGCGCTTGCTCTTCAGGAAACGGGGGGACCAGGCTCCCACTTCCCTCCCAGGATGCTCACTGCTGCGTGGGCTCAGGCTTCGGCTCTCCCTGTCCTGGGGGCGACGGGACCCCACCTCCCATCGGCAGCACCGTCCAGAGTGCCAGAGAGAAAGGCCCATTCCCTGTGGGCTCTGCGACAGCAGGAACAGCAAGCCACGGAAAGAGGGGGCCCGCGCTCAGGCCTGGGGTCCTCTGATGCCCGGAGCTTCCGAAGGAACAAAACCATGCTCTGAGCCGTTTTTAATGATTCGGGAAAACTCTCACGGTATCGTGTCAAGCAAAACTTTAAAAAAATAGTCCTCCAAGGAGCATGCACGCTATGGCCACAGCCGTCCTGAGCACAGGCGTGCAGGGAGAGGCGGCACCGGCGCCGCCTCACGGGTTCTGCGGGCCACGAATGACGGAGGTGGTTACATTCTCCTTTCTATGTGTCCCTGCTAGCATTTTTTTTTTTTTTTGCAATTAATTCAAAAAGTATGAATGTTTTGGAAGCGCAGATAAACAACGTCGCTGGTCCAGCTGGCCCACTTCCTGCCCCGGCTCTGGCCAACCGGAGCGCGTGCCTCCCTCACCCTGGGGTGCTCCGGAGGGCTGGGTTCATCTCCTGGGGCCCTGCCCCCACCCTGCCTGGCCTGTCTGCGGGTGCCGCCGTCTGTTCCACAGGGCCCCTCCTCCAGTGCCCACCCCCCGGGCCTTCATCTCCATTTGTCCCCTCCCGGTGTCGGTCTGCAGTGCCATCTTTGGATGCCTGCAGAGGGTGCCGCCCCTTCCCCGGGCACCTGAGGGCCTGTCAGAGCTTCCTGGCCAGAGGCCGGGGGGGCCTTCAACACCCCCACTGCCTCGCATTCCTCGGCGAGCCTCAGGGGTAGCAGGAATCCGAAGGGATTTTGTGTTCTGTCTCAGTCCGGAGCTGGGCGTCTGCCTGCATCACCGCCTTGTGTGGGGGAGGGTCTCCTGGCTTTCAGAAACCCGGGGCACATGTATCCCCTCTGCCCACCGGAGAGGGCAGGCAGAGGAAGAGCCAGACCGTGGAGGCCTCCGAGGCCACAGGCCTACGTGTGGCTCCAGCTCCATGAGGTGGCTCTGGGGGTCCATTCCCACCTCTGAGTTCTCACTGACGCCCACACTCACTATGGGTTCCAGAGGCAGACCCTCCCTTTAGGAGCACCACGGATCTGGGCCGCCTCTACCAGGCTGGCCTCAGGGGCTGCTCCTTTGAGCACCCTGGACCCGCTGGACCATGGCTGAGGCTGCCCTGCAGGCTGGGAAGATGGAGGCAGCAGTCCCAGAGCCACAGCCGCTGCAGGTGACCTGCCTCCACGGTTAGCGGAGTGCTCTGGCCTCAGCCTGGGCGATGCTTCATGTAAGACACACCATGGCTCTCGGGCTGGGGCCACCCCACTTTATGGACGGGAAACCAAAACCTTAAGAAGCTGTCCAGGGCTGCACGCTGCTGGGCTGGAGGCTGGCTGCTGCCGGCCATGGCCGGGCTTTTCCCCTCGACTCTGGGGAGGGCGTGGGAAGGGGTCCAGCCCCCTCCTCTCTCCAGCCCCCCTCCCTTGGCCTTGCCTCCATGAAGGGGCAGGAGGACCCCAGCATCTGGGACACGTCCTCTGGTTCACACGCTCTGCCTGCCCCTCACTGGGCAGACGGGTCTGGGGTGAGGCCAGTGGAGGGGGAGCCTTGGCCTGGCCTGTGGGGTCCCTGGGCCTGACCCCTCCTGTCACCCTCGTGTAGCCTCGTCCCACGGCCCGGCTTCCTCCTCATCGGCAAACCAGGTGCTCAAAGGGCCGCTGTGAGAACGGAGGGCGAGCCCTCCAAGCCCCAGCTCGGTTCTCAGCGACGGTGAGGCCTGCACAGGGGCCCACACACCAGCGCTGGACACACTGAAGACAGCGCCAGTGTATTTCCACTAGAAACAGCCTCTTTTCTGAAGACATCCCTTCCTGTTGAGGCAGTAAAAGTAGCATCTCCTATGCTGATTTAACTACTTGTTAAGATTCACAATTCTCAGGCCCCCACGTGCGTTTCAAGTGCTCCCCGTGAGCAGCCAGGGCAAGGAGGGTCCTGAAACTGTCTGCTCACGGTGACGCCCAGAAATCACCTGGGACCCTCCCACCTGCCGTTGGTTCCCTTCCTCAAGGCCAGCCAGCCGCATTGGGCACCTCCCCGTGCTGGGAGCTTCAGTACCCTTGGGCGCCTCAGGGATGCAAAGTGGGAGGCGTGGCCACCGCAGCCCTGGGGACACACAGGGGCTCCCGCTGCCCGGGGCGGGAGGGGCCCATGCTGAGTCTCCTGTCCCGCAATGAGAGCCTCCAGGTTCCACTCCTCCCTCCCACCTGGCCATCCCTCAGTCCTTCTGCTGGGCTGCGGAGTGGGAGGCCCCCTCCATGAGGAGACTGTGCGTGGGGAGGGAGGAAGGGAGGGGATGTGCCTACTGCGTGCCAGGCCCTGAGCAGCACACGCTGCCTCTCGGTGACCCTCCACTCGCCATCTGGCAGAGCGCTCCCCAGCAGTGGGGGCAAGCCGCCTGCTGTCCTCCACTCTTGACTGGCCACACCAGGGGTGCCTGTCCGAGCACCGCTGCCACCTGCGACTCTTCCTTTCCTGGAGTCACCTCTGCTCATGGGTCACGAAGCTCTTCCCCCACAGCCGAGGCTGAACCTCAGAACCCTCAACACAGCCACCAGCTGTAATCTCAGGCAGAGGTGACAGGCGGGAAGGGACCCCTCCGCTCACCTCTCTTTAGGGCTTGGTTTTGCACAATTCACAGCATGTGTTAACTCCATTACTAAATCTGCCGGAAAGCCAGGTGTGCCAGGATAGACTCTTTTAAGTCCCTGAGTGATCTTGTTGCCCACTTGGCCACGGCTCACAGTGACTGCCACGGGGTGGGTGCTGGAAGCCTCTGGCCTTGTACCCCTAGGCCAGCGTCCTTGCGGCTGGGATGGGTGCTGTGCACATGTGGGGATTCACCGGGCTGGCTGGTGCCTGCAGAGATCACAGGTGAGCGGCTGTAAAGCAGGAGGCACTTTGGAGGGGAGAACAGGCCACTTTGAGCAATGGTGGTGGAGGCAAGGCATGCAGATGCCTGCAGGTGGCCCACGCCACGTGGCCAAGAGGGCAGCCCGGCCGGAGTCCCGCCGGACGGTTCCCAGCGTTTCTAGGCCAGGAACACGGGGAGCTCTGTAACAGCTTTCAGCGTGACGCTCCCCTGCTTCTGACGGCCAGTGAGTCACTTCAGCCACCTGCCGCCGCAACGACCGAAGTTCCAGGATGCGGAGGCTCCAGCCGCTGGGCGTGGGGCTCTGGTGGCTGGCCTTGCAGGACATTCTGTTTTTGGCTCCGGTTGGTGGAAATGTTTTCCACGTGTTTTCCCGTGTTTACGGAGCTGAGGGCACGGAATGAAGCTGGGGAAGCCGGCCTGACAGGGCCTGGCCCGGGTGTCTGGCCAGACCAGCTCCACTGAAGCGGAAAAGAGTGCCAGGTGGGGGCGGGCTGTGGGGGCGCCAGGCAGGGGGCGGGCTGTGGGGGCACCCAAGCCCCTGCTGTCTGCCGGAGGGGAAGGGGATGTTGGAGGTGATGACCCGCAGGGTGGCAGAGGAGCTCTGAGGTCAGTAGGCTCAGAGTGCACTGCTGGCTGCCTGGGGCCCCTGGGGAGTGAGTGGTGGCTGGTGGTGGCTGCCTGTAGGCTGTGCTTTCTGCTGGCATCATGCCCACCCCGTTTGAGCTTTGTCCCTCTTATGCAGAGCACAAGGCATTGATTTTCCCACAGTGGTTCCCCCAGCAGCCTGGGGCCTCCAGCGCTTCCCCAGGGCCCCTGGCCGGTGAGGGCCGAGGCGGCCGGCTGCTGGATGGTTTGCAGAGGGCTCGCTGCCCTGCTGGGAGGACCTGGCCAAGCCGTGCCTGTTGCTGCCACTGCGCTTCCTGGTCCAATTGCTCCTTCAGGCTGGCCACCTGGGGACAGGACAGTGGCTTCGGTCGGAGGGCAGGCGGCACGGCCGGGGCCCCAGGGCACAGTGGCGTGGAAGGCTCTGTGATAGGAAGGGCTGGAGGCCATAGTCCACAGCTCTCGAGGAGAGGTGGCACGCATGGGACAGAAACATCAGGCGGACATCAGACTGACTCTGTCGCTGCCAGAGAGGGATGTGCAGTCCCACCTCTTACCACGGATGGCCACGTTGCCCGCCTGTGGAGGGCTCAGGGTCATGGCCACTGCACACCCCCGGCAGTGGGCTCTCTTCTATTCAGGCTACTGAAAGCACTCAGAATGGGGCTGGGTGCCGGCTCACGCCTTAATCCCAGCACTTTGGGAGGCTGAGGCAGGCCTCCCAAACTCCTGAGGTCAGGAGCTCAAGAGCAGCCTGGCCAACATGGTGAAACCCCGTTTTTCACAAAATACACACACGAAGAAACTAGCCAGGTGTGGTGGTGGGCACCATTAATCCCAGATACTCGGGAGGCTGAGGCAGGAGAATCGCTTGAACCCGGGAGGTGGAGGTTGCTGTGAGCCAGGATCATGCCACTGCACTCCAGCCTGGCTGACAGAGCAAGACTTGGTCTCAAAAAAAAAAAAAAAAAAAAAGCAAGCAAGCACTCGGAATGATAAGGAAATAAATGTCCTTTTGCTAACAAATTTAGCAAAAGTACTTGGTGGTCAGGGACAGTAAGTCGGGGCTGACACTGGGCAGTCACGTCTCCTCCTGGGCCTCAGCCTCAGCTTCCTCATCTGTGCAATGTGCAGACGCTCTGAGCTCCATGGCTCCACGGTTCAGCCCACAGGTCTGTCACGGGTATGTACACGTGTGGGCATGGAAGGCAGTACACACCCACGCTGGCCGTGCTTCCGTTACCCACTCACCGCGCCCACCTCATCCCCATGCACCACCGTGCCACACTCTTTCCATCGTGACTCTGAAGGACAGGTGCAGGGGCCGCCTCTGCTACAGCCATGCGTGCCAGGTGCTGTCGAAGCCCCTCGGTCTCCCGGTGAGCCCTGATCGGAGCTGTCCTCCCCACCCCACTTTATAGACAGGGCAATGGAGGCTGGGAGATGGTGGTGACCTGCCCCAGCATCCACGCTCCTCCTCCCAGTGAGGTGTGGGATAAACCTCGTGCCCTCAACAGCACAGAAGTGTGGGCAGTGCCCAGAGCGGGCCTGGAGCCCACTGAGTGGCAGTGGAGAGCCCCTGTTGCTAGAAGATTCAAGCAGTCACTCCTACTGGGATGCCAGTCCTCCCGTCCCCTCCCTCCGCCCTCACCCAGGGGGCTGGGGTCCCGACTTCACCTGCTCCTCCAGCACCTCCACCCGCTGCTGGTGGGTCCGTCCTTGGGCCTCCAGGGCCCCACGCAGACGCTCTGCCTCCTCGGCCAGGTCCCGCTGGTGCTGGACAGCCAGCTCCTGGAGCCGCTGGGTGTGCGCCTGCTCCAGCTCTGCCTTCTGGGCCTGGAGTGAGAACTCGGGCTGTCTCTCACCGATGGCCACACAGAACCCCAGGGCAGGAGTGCCCCGGGGTGTTCCACCTGCCCTTGTCAGCCCCGTTGGCCTCTGCAGGGTGCTGGCCTTGGCCAAGACTGCCCAGTAGCCATGGGGTTGGGAGCACACATTTAGTCCACAGAGCCTTGAGTTTGGCTTTCGCTCGGCTGGAGACCAAGCCGCAGCCCCCAGGATGGGCTTAAAATCTGTTTTCATGGCATCCCGGGTTCCCTTTGGCTGGGCTGGGTGTCCTGAGGGCACTGGACTTTGATTCCTGCCCATCCTGCCCCATTCCCTGCTGGTTTCTGAGGATGGAGGGTGTGTCCAGTGTGGAGAGGGAGAATGAAGCCCCTGAGGCCCCTCCTGTGGGTGTTGGGCCCCTAGGCCTCGGGGACTCCTCCCCAACACCAGCAGGTGGCGGCCTCCAGCCCTGCCCCAGGCCTCTCTCGCCGCCCTCGTCTGGCCCTTGTGCTGCTCTGCAGAGCCCAGGCTGGGCTCCCACGGGGACTTCGGTGTTTCCGGAAGGGCAGGAGCCTTGGGTCCTGGTTCCAGCTCCACCTTCCCCACGTGTGCACGTCTGAGACAGAGGTGCACCAGCTACTGTCTGGATCTGACACCCTCCTGGGTCCCACCCCAGATCTGCCCCAGGGCGGAGGTACGCAGAGCTCTGCTGGCCCAGCTGACCTGCAGCTGCTGATGCTGCCTCTGGGCTCCATCCACCTCCTGGTGCAGGCTGTTCAGAGACTGGGCCAGCTGCTCCTTCTCAGCCCCCAGCCTCGCCACAGCCTCCTCCCTCTTCAGTATCTCTTGCTCTGTCTGCAGAGAGCCCGGGAGGCAGAACCTGTGGCCTCCGGGCAGGGAATGAGGTCAGGCCAGCCCACCTCTGGGAGCACAGGGTGCCTCTGGGAAGGACTCTGAATTCCCCTAAGAGCTGGCAGGGTCAGGAAGGGCACTGCCCTGGGCCAGGAACCCCGGCCTCACCCAGGTCTATCTGACATCTACAGCCAGAGTGACAGCTTAAGGAGGAGCATGGGGCCAAGTCCCCATCCAGCTGCAGACCAGCAGAGGTCTCCACCAATGTCCCCAGTGGGGACCTGTCTACATCTCTTAAGGTGACATCCCAGGATCTACCCCAAAAACCTCTTCTCAGTGATCCTTCAGGCCTCATGAGCCATGATCCCTGCACCGTCAGGCACCCGCCTTCTGCTGCTGGCACTCGGGATCTGCTGAGCTCGTACAGGCACAGGCCCTGAGAACCAGGCGCGCTCGCTGTCTCAGCCCCAACGAGCCCGTGGCATTGGCATCACCCCCCCAGTCCGTCCTCCTTGCAGGCTGCAGGCTGCCCCAGTGAGCCCCCTCCTTAGTCACCCACTCCCCACCCCATGGGTACAAGTCAGGAGGGAGAAGCTGCCGGTTAAATATCAGGGAAGGCTACCCAAGAAACAGACATTTTCTATAGGGAAGTTGGCAGGAAGCTTTTGTTCTCTCGTGAACGGGCTCTCTGGAGGACAGGATTGCACCTAAGAGTTCTCTCTTATAGAGAGCAGCCCTGGAAGGGGGACAGTGTCCACCGGCCCCAGGCAGCCTGCTTCCAGCACCCCCAGACAGCCTGAGGCATGCCTCACGGGTGGCTGGGTGGATGGGATGCCATGATGTCACAGGCCCATTGGGCCAGCCAGGGGCTGAGGCAGGCTTGGAACCCAGGCCTGGTTCTCCATAGCAGGCTGCCTCCAGTCTCGGCCGTGCCTGGCCCCCCGGGTCTTGCGGGCTGGGGCTGTGTCCTGGAGTGACCGGTCAGTCCTTTGTCGGCCCCACTGCCCTCTGTCGGGTGCTGACTTGGCCCAAGATTGGGCAGCAGACCAGGGGCTCAGGGCACACACTTAGCACACCACAAACCTGCCCTCTTGGCTTCGGGGCTGGGGCAGGCCTGGTTTCCGGCCCTGAGACAGGGGATAATTTGCGTGGGTAAAGTTCATTATGGGATCAGTGGTTGGAACTTTACAAAAAATGAGGGTTCCTTTCTTCATCAGGGTTGAGAAAAACAGAGTTCCCCTGCACTGAAAGAGGAGGCCCTGTTTCTTTAAAAATCCAGTTACACTCCTGGAAGTACGTGTCATAAAGAAGAGAAAAGTGAAATCCAAAATCAATAAACGGCCTCATCCGGGCTTCCCCTCCTGAGACACCAATAAAGGGTTTATGGGTTTGTGGGTCCCTCACAGCTGACCTCCTGGAACTCATTAGCTGTTCCTTCCCTCCCCTCCTTGGGCTCCAAGGACTCAGGTGGGCACCGTGCCCACAGCTGGCTCCGTGTCCTGGGCAGTGCTGTCGTAACCAGGGCTGATGCATGCCCCCTGCTCCCCCACCCCCAGCAGCATCCACGGGAGGCCCCAACACCTGGTTTCGTGGCTCACGGCTAGGCCCCCTTCGGGAACAGCAGCGGGGGCTCATGACTGGACCCTGCTGGCTGGCCCTCCTCTAGAGGGCAGGTAGTCCTTTGTGGACAAGCTGGCCAGTGGCTTTTGTGACTGTCCTGTCCCCTGGGCAGGCTGGGCTGCAGGGCCTTGTGCAGGTGGCCATGAGGCCGTGGGAAGGGCCACCTGCTCTGGGGTCTACCCGAGGCCTCAGAATTCGGCTTCTGCACTTCAGAGACGGGACACTGACCTGCAGGGCCAGCCCCGGAGATGCCATCCTCCCCTCCCTCGTCCCGAGTGCCCATCTTCCTTCCGATGCCTCCTCTGGAGCCCTTCCCACTCTGGGGTCCCCTGCCTACTCCTGGATGGGGGCTGTGAGGGCATCAGGACCCCGGGCCACAGCTGGTGCAGCCCACTCTGCAGGGCCGGCCTGGGTGGCTGTGTGGGCACCTTCCCTGTCCCTGCAGGGCTTCAGCAGCACACAGCAGAGGACAAGGGGCTATTCCACAGGCTCCACAGATGGAGGCCAAAGACACCCACCCTTCCCGCCCCTCCCCCTGCACCATCTGCCCTTCGATGCTGAACAAACTTCCTAAGGAGAACAAGCTCGGGCCCTCCAGGGTGCTGGGGGTGGGAGCTTGTGGGTGGGTCACGGTGCTGGTGACACCGACCTGTCCCTCCAGCTGGGGGACCCAGAGGTGCTTCCGTGGCTCTCCCTGACCTCAGCGGTCACTCTGTGGCTGTGTGGGGAAGGGTGGCAGGAACACAGCTGGGAGTGGGGCTCTGGGGTCAAGGGGCCATGAGGAGACCTGGGTGGTGGGTGACAGGGCCCAGGGGTGCCGAGCTGAAGGCAGCCCTTCCAAAAGCGTTCGGTCCAGAGGGAGGTGGGCACAGATTCTGTGAGGAGTCTGGCCTCAGGCCACCAGGACTACCCACCCTGCACCTTGGACCCACAGGGAGGGTGGGGCCTTTCCCCAGGCGATTCACCAGCCTCTCCACTCAGCTGAACAGTCGCTGTGCGGGACCCTGACTGTGCCCCAGTCATTTAAACAGCCCGCACTGTAGAAAGGGCAGTGTCCAGTCCCGCGGCCCTGGACAGCCACCACGTCTGCGTCAGGGAGGAGCCCGACTGTGCAGACAGCTAGAGGGGCCGGCGTCGAGGAGAGGAGATGAACGGAAAGAGGGATCCATGCGTGGCCACCCCTCGGGCCGGGACCAGTGCCCACTCTGCCCTCACCTGCCAGGCGGGGACCTGCCTGCACCCAGCCCCTGCTGTGGGGGTGGCGAGCCCCCCAGTGTGAGTGCCTGGGTGTGTGTGGAGTGCTCACGGAGGACGAGAGGGCTGCCTCTCGGGTGATGGGGAGGGTGCTGAACACAGCAGATGCCAGCTCGGTGGGGTGCGGGCTCCGAGAGGCTCTTCCTGGCTGCCGGAGCGCCATTTCCTGTTCCGGGGGCTGTGTTTCCCCGTCAGTCTCCCCCAGATGGCTCTGCTCCGTTCTGGATTCATGCGTGGGAACCGGGTTCATGGGCACCAGGGGCTGAGCTCAGTGGCCAGGATCCCCGGATCACTCACCCGCCAGCAGAGCAGCTCCGCCTGGCCTCACCTCTGCGGCCAACCCCTGGACACTGTGGCCTATGTTTGTCTGACCTTCGGATTGGAAACCCCATCCTGCACCCTGACCTGCGTTGGGGGGGGTGACAGGGCTGGGTGATGGGAGGGGAGCATGACAGGGCTGGGTGAGGGCCATCACTGGGACCCCTTGACCGCTGAGCTCCTGTCTCTCACCCTATCTTCGGGGGCCCTACCCGGGAGCTCACTGGCGGACACACACCACACCACTGGCAGGGCCGTGGCCACCTGCGGGCGTCCTAACGCTGAGCTCAGGGCCGCCCCGCCGACAGGTGAGGACACAGAATCCTGCGTGGGCCAGCGCCTGGCCCCGCTCCCCGCCCCTCTCCAAGGACCGCCCGCCCCGCCCTCGGGCCGCCGCCGCCTACCCGTGCGAACTGAGCGCGCAGCACCTCGAGCTCCCCCTGCAGACGTGCCCGCTCAGCGCGCGGCGCCGCCGTCTGCTCCTGCGGCCGCCAGAGCACCTGGGCGGGGGACGCTGGGCGTGGGACGCTGGGCATGGGACGCTGGGCGTGGGCCAGGGGTTGGGAGGGCCCGGCTTTCAGAGAGCAGGTTGTTCCCTCTAAGGCTGGCCCTGGCCTCAGCTTATTTTCTCCTAAAGGGCGTGTCCACAGCTGACTCGGGTGCCTACTGTGTGGCAGGAAATCCAGCCCCTGACTCTGCGTGGGCCCCTCCAGCCTCAGTTTCCCCAGCTGTCAGCGGGGGACTGGATGGTGCCTGGGTCTCTGCAGGCCTGCACACCTGCCTTCAGCATCTCTCCAGGCCTCCCTTCATGCCGAGGGGCTGATTCTGCAAAGGACCGCAGGGCCTCTTTCCCATAGGCCTGTTCACCACCTCCTGGTGACAGCGTACCCTGCCCTCCTGAGACCCTCACCTGTCTTGGGGGCTCCAGCGATCCCTCGGCCTCCTGGCAGCTGTGCTCCAAGTTGGTGAGCTGCTCCTCTAGCAGCTTCCTCTTGGCCAGGCCTTGGCTGTGCCTCCTGCTCTCGTCAAGGGCCTGGCGAAGTGCGTCCAGTTGCTCCTGTAGGGAGGGAGACACACGGCCCACCTGGAGACACTGGGCGCGGGGCCTGCAGGGAAGCCACCTCGGGGCATCTGCCTGGACCGTCCCACAGGCCCATGTTGCTGGGATGAAAACAGCAGGAACTCGGTTAAGGCCGACGCGAAGGGCACTGATCAGTGGTTGTGTTTGCAGTGTAACCTCAAGGTGTGGACCCCCGGGAAGCCTGAGACAAAAGTCAGGGGGGGGGGGTCCGGCCCAGCGTGGGCAAAGGCTCGGGCTTGGCAGGTTCTCTGCTGTAACCGGTGGTCTCAGAAGGCACAGCAGTGGCATCCCTGCCCTGTCTCCAGCCTTGGAGGCTCCCGCTGCCCTTGGGATACGGCCCGAGGTGACCCTCTCCGAGGCCTCTGGAGCCTGTTCAGCTCAGGCCCTGCTCGCCCCTTCTGCCATCACACTGCGCGTTCTCCTGCCTCAGCGCCCACCTGGGGACACAGCTAGTCCCAAACTGAGCCCAGGAACTCCGGAGCCCGGGAAGCTGGCCTGGCCTGTGATCCCTGCGGTGTCCCTCACCCCTGCACCCTCCTCTCAGCCCCTCTGCCTCAGCCTGTCCAAACCGCCTCCATCCACTCAGGACCGGCGACTGTCCTCCTTCAGTTTCCTCTCTGTCCTCAGCGCTGCCCAGGATGGCCTGAGGGCATGTTTCACCTGAGTCTCATCGGCCATGCCGCTGCCTTGCTCTGGGCCTGCGGCACTCCCCGCTACCCCCAGGACACGGACCTGGGAACTCGCCACCTCTCCGACCTCGTACGCCTGCTGCCCCTGTCCTCAGGGTTCCCACCTGGCGCCCCCCGCCATGGGGCTGCCTTCTCCTCCTGCTTGCAGGAATCTCAGCTCCCTGCCAGCCCGGGGGGGAGGACGGTACTGGGGGTGCCCCCGAGCCCCAGAGCTGGCAGCTGTTGGGGCTTCGGCACCCCCAGACGCGTGAGGGAGCCCGCGAGGCATCCGTCATTGGAAGCTTCTGGACCGCACGTTGGCCTGGTGAGGCCTTGGTGGCTCCCCAGCCCTTGCACCTTCCCGGCGTCTTGTGGGGAAGCGGCCACACTTTGAAAACACTGTTTCTTTGGTCTGACACTTTGTTACTTTAAAAAAGGAGAAGGAAGACAAGGAGCGTACCTAACATGACGACGCTCCGCCCTTCTGTGCAGTTTTGAAAATTATAATTTTCTGCACAATTTTCCAGTAGGAAAGCAGAAGTTTCCTTCAAATACGGCTCAAATATTTCATAGCAGTTTTAAGAGGTCCCAAACCTCTTGTAATGACTCAGCTTTTATGGAATTTGAATGAACCGTAATAATTGAGTGGTTCTCCGTTAATGCACAGCCCGACGCAGCCCCAGTGAGTTGCTCTGATCTCTCGTGTCCTTTCAGCTCTAAATCCTGATGCTGTGTGAGAGCCAGGCTGGCAAAACCCACCTTGAAAACATGGGTTCAGCCTGAGTGTTTAAGCAGCTGCAGGAAAGAACCCCAGCCCTTCTCCCCGAGAGCTGAGTGGAACTGAATGCTCAGGACGAGTCTGGGCTCCCACCCCGGAGCCCGAGCAGGGGGAAGCCTAGGCTCGAAGCCAGAACGTGGGGCTCCAGCGTCAGTTTCCCCATCTGTGGCATGGGTATGGTGCAGTCTCACAGGGGTCTCGTTGGGACCAAAATAAGGCTGGGGCCGGGTGCAGTGGGTCACGCCTGTCATCCCAGCACTTTGGGAGGCCGAGGTGGGCAGATCACCTGAGGTCAGGAGTTTGAGACCAGCCTGACCAACATGGTGAAACCCCATTTCTACTTAAAACACAAAAAATTAGCCGGGCGTGGTGGCACGCGCCTGTAATCTAGCTACTTGGGAGGTGGAGGCAGGAGAATCGCTTGAACCTGGGAGGCAGAGGTTGCGGTGAGCTGAGACTGCACCACCGCGCTCCAGCCTGGGCAACGAGAGTGAAACTCGTCTCAAAAGAAGAAGGAGAAGGAGGAGGCTGTGGACTCTGGGAGGCCCCCGGGAGCTGTTACAAATCAGGGCTTGCGCGGAAGGCCGGGCGTGAAGGCTGGGAAACACCTGAACAGGAGCAGAAGGGACAAAGGCCGCGAAGAGCAGGGCAGAGCATGCCACAAACACCCCCAAATCCGTCCTGTGGGCTCTTGGAATTGGGGTCCTCAGCCTGATACCTGTTCATCCACTGGGCGACCGTGGGCCAGTTGAGTTATCCACTGGCGGGTCCGCTGGAGTCCCTGCCCTTCCTGCCTCAGTCACAGGGCGGATGAGCTCTGGACAGTCCTCAGACACAAGGGGGTCGGAGCCCTTCTTGCCACACTTGGGACGCTGGGGCCAGGCCGAGGGCAGGGTCTGTGCCAGTTCGTGGTGGCAAGGCCTCCTCTCGGCTTGGGCCTGCCCGCTTCCCGCCTGTTCTGCCAGCCCCTCCTGCTTGGACCCTACTAGCTTTACAGCCTGTTGCCTTATTCACTTTCAGAATTTTCTTGGAAAATCTTGAATGTCTACCCTTTCCCGTGAACTTTGCAGTCAGCTTGTCCAGTGTCCAGTGTTCCTCTAAACACAACACAAGCAAATAGACAAAAACAAACCATGAAAGCAAACGACTGACAAAGGGGGAGCATGGACAGAGCCCCACCTGGAAGCCGATCACCCGATGAAGCCACAGCCTTGCCAGGGAGACACCGTGAGCAAAGGGGGCGGCAGAAACGTGCGCTCATGCGTTCAGATCACCCTCACACTCAAGAAGAAATGGAGACGGAAACTTCTAGAAAACTGGTAAAAAGGGACCGAACTCCCAACAAAAGCTGCTGCGGCACGTCCCAAACCACAGTTAGGGAAAATGGGATCACGTGAAATGCTCCTGCTGTAAGAGAAAGCCCACACATAAACAAATTGCTTATTCCTTTCAAGAAATTGGAAAAATTACAATGAAAAAGATTTAAAAAGAGAGTACTGGCTGGGCGTGGTGGCTCACGCCTGTGATCCCCGCACTTTGGGAGGCCAAGGCAGGTGCATCCCGTGAGCTCGGGAGTTTGAGACCAGCCTGGGCAACATGGTTTAACACCATTTCTACAAAAAGTACAAAAGTTAGCCAGACGCAGAGACATGTGCCTGTGGTGCCAGCTACTGAAGAGGCTGAGGTGGGAGGACCGCTGGAGCCCAGGAGATGGAGGCTGCAGTGAGCTGGAATCACGCCATTGCACTCCAGCCTGGCGGACAGAGCCAGACCCTCAAAAGAATAAATAAAATAAAAAATAAACTAAGACTGAGAATAGAGTGTTAATAGAAATAAAAGCTGAAATCAGTAGACTAGACAAAAATGAAATGAGATAAATTGATTATTTGAAAACAGGAATAAAACATGAACTGTTGGCAAGTGAGATTAAGGGAAAGAAACCAGCCTCCCACATGAAGGACAGAAGCGATGTTACTCCACATGGAGATCAGGCACAGCGACGCGCAGAGGGCAGGTGCACCTGCCGGCAAGACCACGTTATTACGAAGATGCTGCTCAGCAGACCCACGTGCAGGTGTCTGGCTGTGCACTGGACGTGTACGATGAGTGACATTCCCACGGGCAAAACTGACCCGAGGAGAAATGGAAAGCGAAAACAGACCTTTGACAGAAAGAGACTGAAAGGGAATTAGAGTGTGCTCTTTACCATGACAGGAGCTGCCCACAGGTACAGGGAGGGTCACTGAACCTTTCAGGAAGAGTTACTTTGAGCGTTCCAGGTGACAGAAAAAATGGAAAGCCCACCAATTCATTTTATCAAATAATGAAATTTTCTTAACACAAATAAATTCGAAAAATATGTCACCAAAAAGGAATTACAGATGCAAAAATTCTTGACAAAGCACTGAGAATAATCAATCCCGACCATGGCTCAGTGTCTGCCTTCCGGGCCCTGCCGGCCCCAGGCTGCTCTGCTGGCTTTGGGCGTGTGTGGACCCTGGAAACTTTTAGAACCTGTGAATGATGCTGAGTTTGCCCCCCACAGGCAGGTGAACTGCAGGGCTGGCACTGGGGACCTGGGAGCTGGAGGGGTGGACGTGGCACGTGGGCACAGTGGGGGAAGGAGGCCTGGGCAAGAGTCCAAGGATGCCAGGAGCTCCCCGAGCTGTGACCGGGTGCCAATCCAAGGGCGGCGGGGGGGGGGCCTTTCTGAGCGGGCGTGAGGCTGTGGGTGACGCTGGGCGAGTGCCAGGCCTCCAGCCTGCTTGGCGGCCTGGCCAGCTGCTTGGGCACGGCTGCTGCGTTTGGTGCATGTCCTGGCGCCACAGGCTGGCCCTGCACGGCTGTTCTATCGAATTCCCAGGGTAGCCTTGGAAACGGGGAGGGATTTGCTCTCCAACAGAACCTTACTGTTTGCCTACCATTTAATTAGAAAAATATGTTTTTAATTAACTTTCTCTTGACAAACACATTGGCTTATGTGAAACGGGGGAAAAACCGACCCATGAAAGTGAGAGAAGTGTGTCAATGCGGAGCCGGCTCTAGACTGTGCCGGGGGCTTTGGCAGGGCCGGGAGAGGCGCCAGGCCGGCCCCGAGGGACCCCCCGGCTCGGCAAGGGCGCGGGGCAGCAGGGAGCGAGGCTGTCTTCCCAGCCCCCTGGCTGGCTAGAAACATTTCAACCCTGAGCTCTCTGCCTGGGTTTGCCAAGTGTCAAAAGCGGGGCCTCTGGTGAGGTGGTGACTTAGGTGTGTCTGCATCCAGACACCCACCACAATGACCAATAGATCACAAAAGGTTGAGAAAAACTTTTTCTCAGAGCTGGAGACCAGGCCTTGGAGGGTTCCTGAGGGCAGATGAAACCAGCTTGGCCTAAAACAAGGTGAAACGGCCACTGCCCGAATTATAAGAAAACATTGACACCATCATCATAGCGTTCAGCACATTTCACTAAAATACTTGAGCAAATTCTAGACCAAGCAGAAAAATGCATATGGACGAGGGTCCGATGAATATCAGAGGCATCCTCTGCACCCATGTGTGGAGACCGGAAGTGGGGCTCCCCCATACCCTGGCTCAGAACGGGGATGGCTGCAGGGAGCTACAGGGGACCACGTCAGGGGAGAGGGCTGCTGTGGCTGGGGGACCCAGGGAGCCCCCATCCCTCCAGGCAAGCAGCTGAGGAGGTAAGGATGCCACCACCACCCTGCACCAGAGAGTGCCCCCACTGCCCCCCCAACACTTCAGGAAAAGAACAGCTCTTGGGGGGCCAGAATGCCACCGCTGGCTCCCCACACTCCCCACGGCTCCCTGCGGCTGCGGGATCTTGGAACCCTCCTCTCTGCCTTTCCTTTGAGCCTGAAATACGTGGATGGGGGCACATAAAGTCCCTAAGGGGCCCCTCTCCACTCCCAGCTTTGAACAAGGCCAGAACCCCCTTCTTCAAAGATACGCAAAGGAAAAAGCATCACAAAAGTGGCAGCCACTGGGGTTGGAGAAAACGAAGTTGATCCGAGGAATCGCATTTGAGAGTCTCTGAGGACACAGAGAAGCAAGCTGCTGACACGCATCAGAAGGTGGTGACTGGCATTCTCCAGGCAAGGCCAGGGCAGGGAGCCCTAGGGGGAAACTCTGGCCGAGGAGGCCGCCGTGGGGGCAGCGGCAGAGGCGGTGGGGCGGATGGTGAGATGAGCTGAGCAGGAGGAAGACCTGAAATTCTCCTGGGACCTTGGGAGATGGGGGTGAGGAGAAATTCAAGACTGGAGCCAGGAGGACAGGCCCAGGGGGCCGTGATGGGGAGCAGAGGGCTCCAGGGCAAAAGAGCAGAGGGCGAGGGAGAAGAGATTTTTATTTTTACAGTGGGAGGAACCTCTGTAGACAGAAGGTAGATTGGATTCTGCAAGTAGGAAGGGGTTGCCAGGTAGGTAAAAATACTGAAAGGGGCCGACACGCCCATACGTTGGTGACATTTTTGAATTTCAAAGACACAGAGGCCGCTGGCTGCCACTCTGGAAAGAGCGTTGACAAGAAAAACCCAAAGAGCCCAGAGACTCCACACAGTTCTGGAACCTCTGAGGGGCCCAGACTCTAAGGAAAACCAGGCTCCTCCAGGAGAGACGCGGTGAGCGGCCGCACCCAGCAGCCAGTGGCACGGAGTTCACTGAGGCTGGCAGCATGGCAGCATGTTGCTGGGACCCCGGTGGCAGGTGGGGCCCTCTGAGGCCCCGTGAGCTCCGGCCCCGAGGCTACCCTGTGACTACGTTGCATTCGTGGCCAGGGTACTCTGGATGTGAGTCAGTCGACTCCGAGCTAAGGAAAGGGTGACCACCCAGGCAGGCCTCGCCCACCCACGCAGGCCGTCGGGTGTTGGCAGAAGGGAGCAGAGAGGGGTGAGGCACGTGCAGACGTGGGGCGACGGCCCTGCCGCTGCCCTCCCTGGCCGGGAGTGGGGGGCCCTTGGCTGACAGCCTGGAAATGAGGCTCAGCCCGATCACACCAGGAGCTGAACTCGCCACATGGGATGAGCCCAGATGCCCCGGAAGCACCCGGATGAGCCGGGAGACTCTTCCCTGGGGCCTCAGGTGGCCCAGCCCACCCCATGACTGAGGCCGGGAGGGGAGACCCCAGTCACACATGCTGGGCTTCTCACCCACAGGGCCAGGGGCTCAAAAGGGGGCTTGTTTTAAGTCATCAGCAATTTGTTGCAAAAAATAGTGCACCAGGTGTGGGCTGCTGCGGGTAGAGGGCCCTGGGGTCCACAGATATCAAGAGAAGCCCAACTCACAGGCAGGAGAGCCAGAGCCCCCGGGGCAGGTTTGCAATTGGACAGTGTCCAGGGGAGGAAGTTCAAAGGAACAAAAGTCTCAGCTCCGAGGGCGCAGGTGGAAGCATCGCAGTCGGGGGGGTGATGGTGGAGAAAAGACGCTCAGCCTTGGAGGGTGCAGGGTGCTGTCCTGGCCCAGCCCTAAGGGACCCTGGATGCAAAGGCTAAGGGAAAAGGGCTGAATGAATCACCCCTGCCGTGCAAGACAGGGCCGACAGGAAAGACACACAGAAAGGAGGAAGGTCCTATCAGCAACCTGAGGAAAAACAGCCTGCATGACCACAAATCTACGTGGAGCAAATTCCCCAGAAAAGGCAAAGACTCCGAGGTGGGATTGAAGCCAAAGCCAGGCCGATGACACAAAGGCTGAGAACGCAAAGACCACAAAGGCAGAGGCCGAGAGGAGGACAGACAGCAGCCACGGGACGTGCAGGCCACGCGGGAGGACACACAGCAGCCACGGGACGTGCAGGCCACGCGGGAGGACACACAGCAGCCACGGGACGTGCAGGCCACGCGGGAGGACACACAGCAGCCACGGGACGTGCAGGCCACGCGGGAGGACACACAGCAGCCACGGGACGTGCAGGCCACGCGGGAGGACACACAGCAGCCACGGGACGTGCAGGCCACGTGGGAGGAGTTCACGGAGAAACTTCACGTTCAAAGAGAGTCAAGAAATCTAGAAGTCAGATACCCTTGGAAATAAAAGGAGATATTGACAAAAAGAATTGCAGTCAGAAAATTCCACACATCATCCTTAGCTTTCATAAATTCAGAAACTAGATCAAATGTGGTCTATCTGAATAATGCCCTCGTAAAGGTTGATTTAAAAGGTGTATTTCAGGGTCGGGCAGGGTGGCTCACGCCTGTCATCCCAGCACTTTGGGAGGCCGAGGTGAGCAGATCATTTGAGGTCAGGAGTTGGAGACCAGCCTGGCCAACATGGTGAAACCCCATCTGTACTAAAAATACAAAACATTAGCCGGGCGTGGTGGTGCGTGCATGTAATCCCAGCTACTCAGGAGGCTGAGGCAGGGAATTGCCTGAACCCAGGAGGCAGAGGCTGCAGTGAGCCAAGGTCATGCCACTGCACTCCAGCCTGGACGATAGAGTGAGACTCTGTCTCAAAAAATAAAATAAAATAAAATAAAATAAAATAAAATAAAATAAAATAAAATAATAAGACAACTGTTTCAAAATGTGTAACCTGTGAACAGAGACCCCGTTCTGGCCTGTGGGCAGCACACGTGTGACTATCCGTATAAATGAGCGTGGTTCAGCTCGGCCTGCTCCAGGCCCCCAACTTCTCAGGCTCCCCACCTCCTGGGCATCTCGCCAGTGTGACCCCATCCCTGGCCAGGCCGCCTGGGCCTTCTGCAGATGTCTCTGGTCCTGCTGCCCCAGGAGCTGCCATCGGAGGGTTGTTTCCGAGACGGGAATTTCCAGGCTCCTGGCTGATGAGGAACTTGCCGTCTCTGCAGCCTGGCCTCTGCTCTCTGCCCCCTCTCCTCTCCCCTGCAGGAGCCACCTCCTCAGAGGTTCAGGGCCTCATAGGGACCCAGCGCCTGCCTGCTGGCCTGAGTGCTGACAGCCCTTTGGTGGCCTCTGAGGGCCACCAGGCTCCCAGGCTGAGCCCCGCGAGGAGCAGCACAGGCCTGCTGGGGAAGGTGACCATGGGTGGCTTCTGTACTTGACCTCTGAGGCCTCTGTGCCAACCTGCAGGGCTGTCCCTCCTGACTGCGTCCAGGCCCCCCTCATGGGAGGGACGCTTGCAGAGGAGTGGCTCCCAGACTTCTGTGCCCAGTCCCCTCTTCCCAGAATGGGTTGGGGACGCCCGGGACTGCTGCCCTGGGGAGCCTCAGCGGGGCACGCTGTTTCTGGCCACTGGGGCCTGCGAGGGAACACTCTGGAAAGTCCGGGTGGTCCCCTGGCCGAGTCCTCACAAGAGGATCTCAGGACACGCTGGTGGCTGCTTGGACCTGTGGGCTGCGCTGGGCCAGGCTCCATCCACCCGGCCCGGCTGTTCCCTCTCCAGGCACACCTCAGACCCAGCGGCCACCTCCCCAGCAAAAAGCCCGGCTCGCGGGGACGCTGACCTCAGCCCTTTCTGTGCCTGAGTGACGTGGAGTGAAGAGTGGTCTTGGAGCAGCACGGTGACCCCATAAAGAGCCCCAGGGCCAGGCCAGGCCAGGGCCGCCCCTATGCCTGCCAGTGTGGCCTCAAGAGAAGGAAGGGCTCAGACATGCGGCTCTGCCCCCACTTGCTGTGCCTCCAGGACCAAGTCCTCAGTTTCCCCAAGCTGTGACACAAGGGCTAGAACTACCTTAAAGACAGCTCTGCTAGGGACAGGTCCAGTCCTGATGGCCCCAAAGCCACCTGCCACTACCCAGCCTGCACCTCTGCCCAGGGCCCCGCCTGGCTGGCCACTGGCCCCAGCCACGAACACCCACAGAAGCCCTTTCGGACCCCTCTCTCCCCCATCCCAGCCCTATGGCCTCCCTGCAGGGTGTGAGGGTGACCGAGAGGCCTTGTTCTCACGCCCCACCTGCCCCCCCAACCCCACCTGCCCCCCCACCTGTCCCTCCACCTGCCCCCCCACCCCTGTCGCCTCCCCACCTGTAGCCGCTGCTTCTCCCGGCCTGCCGCACGCACACTCACCAGGTGCTCCACCTCCAGCCTGCCCAGCGCCTCCTTCTGCAGGGCTCTTGCTGCCCGGGCACTGCCCAGCATGCCCTCCACTCGACGCCGGCCTGTGGGGCAAGCAGGGTGGCTCGAGGGGCTCCCACGCCCCTCCCAGGTCACAGGTAGGCAACTCGGCAGACTTCAGTGACTGGCACCAGCGGGGGCAGGGTCTGTCCTCAATGCTCAAGGGTCCTGGGCTGGCCTGGGGTCCCTGCTTCCCGTGTCTGGACTCTGACCTCCTCCTTGCTCATCCTTCCCTCCTGCCTCTTTCCTTTTATTTATTTATTTTTTTTAAGAGACAGGGTTTCACCATGTGGGTCAGGCTGGTCTCGAACCCCCGACCTCAGGTGATCCGCCCACCTTGGCCTCCCAAAGTGCTGGGATTACAGGCGTGAGCCACCGTGCCTGGCTGCCTCTTTCCTTTAACTGAGGGGGCGATAAGTGGAGAAACTCGTGCGTGAGACGCAGTGGGGGGCAGTGGGGAGGAACCTCTTTGAAGGGGCGGCAAAGGGCAGGGCCTGCATGGGGAGAGCCATGTGGCTACTTGGGGTAGAGGGTGCCAGAAAGAGGGCACGGCCCAGGCAAAGGCCCCTGGTGGGAACTGCAGGAAGCCAGGGCGGGGCAGGGGCTGCCCAGGACACTGGGGCCGGACCGGGAGGCCTTGAGGGGCCTGTGGATGCCATTCCTCTGTGCTGGGGAAGTTGCTGCTGAGAAAGCCCTGATGCCAAGCTCAGGCCCCGCCTCCCCAGGCTTGGGGGCTGTGTGTTGCCCTGGGCCCCCTTCCCGCCAAGCTGCCGTAGGGGCCGAAAGCTTACAGCTGGCAGCTGTGGGGACAGTGGTCCCACCCTCACAGCCGCTCCCACGGTGGGTGGGGTGGGGAAGGGAGGTCACCTTCCTGGGCCTCGGCCAGGGCTTTCTGTAGCTGTCGCACGTGGCTCTGGGCCCGGGCACACCTGCACTCTGCGTCACTCAGCCGGCTGCTCAGGGTCGCCATCTGGATGCGAGAGTCATTCTGGGAGGAAGGACTGAGGTCGGTGGGGGCCGCCCCACGGGTGGGTGGAGGGCCAAGGTGTCTGCCAGCGCGTGGGTGCCAGCCTGAGCATGTGCAGGGTAGGGCAGTAGTGGCGTGGCAGTGGGCTCAGGGAAGGTGGCCACTCTGGGAAGCTGAGCTGACCTGCAGGCCTGGGGAGGGGAGGGGCCCGGTGGGGCTGGGCCTGCAGGTCCCAGGTTTCAGGTACAGGTGTGGTGTGGAGAGCTGGCAGGTGGTGGCCCACAGCCTGTGGCAGCACTTGGGGCTGAGTGCAGATGGGACCCTGCTCCCTGGGGCAGACACGAAGGGAGCGGGTGTGCACGGACCCCAGCCAGGGCTCAGGGCCTGTGTCTCTCTTTCCCACAGCCCTGCCCACGGGAGTGCCCTGCCCATCGTCACCCGGCGAGCCGGAGGGGCCGCTCATGGGTGGTTCTGTGGGAGCCCTGAAGCCAAGAGCAGCCACCGGGGAGCTTGAGCCCACAGGAGGGGACTTTGGGAGCCCTGAGGGGAGCTTGCTGGCTCTGTCCTGCAGTCGCCCTTCCCCGGGCAGCTCTTCAGGGGATGGCACGAATTGCAGAATGCCCTGGCCTGGGCCCTGGTGGGTGTCGCAGGAGGGTCTGGCTCCAGGGTCTTTTCAGCCTGGTCTGAGGAATCGGGTGGCCTGCAGCCACCCAGGGCACTTGGGTTTGGGGGCCACGGTGGTACCAGCATTTATCACAACAAACAGAACAGCCTGGACCTTGAGACCCAGGGACACATGGGTGGGTGGACAGCAGGTCTAAGGTGCTCTTCCCAGAGACCCCTGCGTGCTGCCATGGGGGGGGCCCAGAGACTCCCACGTGCTGCTGTGGGGGGGCCCAGAGACCCCCGCGTGCTGCCATGTGGGGGGGCCCAGAGACCCCCACGTGCTGCCGTGGGTGGGGGGGCCCAGAGACCCCCGCGTGCTGCTGTGGGGGGGCCCCAGAGACCCCCGCGTGCTGCTGTGGGTGGGGGGGCCCCAGCCCCCGTTACCCGCTCCCGCTGGGCTTCCCGGAGCTTCTGCACAAAGTCCCGTAGGATGTCCTTCACGGTGTCCACGTCCAGGAGCTCTGAGCTGTGGCCTCCGGGTGTGGGTGAGGGCCGTCGGAGGGGTGAGCGGGGCCTGGCTCGGGGGCTGGCACCCTCTCGCCCAGGGAGAGCCTGGGAGCCGTTGGAGCCTGCGGGAGGTGACAGCGGAGGGGTCGCAGACAAGAACACAGTGACGGAGTATGCCTGTCCCCTTCCTCTCTGCTGCTCCAGCCATGGGAGCTTGAGGGCCGGCCACAGGGCCCTGCAACTGCCTGTGCGAGTCACTTGCTGATCAGCTGTGAGGCCTGAAAGACGGGCGGCCAGGCCAGGGACTGAGCAGGGACAGGGGCCCGCCTGCCGCCCCTGAGGACTCTGACCTTGGGTGGGGGAACCGGGCTGCTCCGGGGCGGCCCACGGGCTCTGTCCCTGGAGCCCCAGGCCATGGCGGAGGGTGCGGCAGAGCCGGCCCAGCTGGGCCTCCGCCCCCTGCCTCGCACGCTGGGCCTGGGTGAGCTCCTGCTCCAGGCTGCGGATCTGGTGACAGGCCCGGTCCAGGCGAGCCCGGAGAGCGTCGGCCGCAGCGCCGGCTTCCTGCAGCTTCCTGGTGACGCCGTGCAGCTCCGCCCGGAGGGTCTGCTCAGCCCTGTGGCTGTCACGGAGGCGCTCCTGGAGCCGCTGTCGTCGGGCCTCCCCGGCGGCCTCCACCTCGGCCAACTTCCTCTGCAGTCCCAGGACCTGAAGGAGGGATGTTCGGGGGAGCGCCCGCGAGAGCCGGTGAGGAAGTGGGCGGGCCTGGGCCTCCCTCTGCTCCCCCTGCCCAGCGCCTCCCCCACCTCCTCCCGGGCACCCGCGCGCCCGGCCTCCGCCTCGGCCGCCTGCCTCCGCAGCTCCAGCATCTCCTGCGAACGTCGCCCCTGCAGCTCCCGGGCCTCTCCGCGTCTCCTCTCGTTCTCGGCCGTCAGCGTCCTCACCTGGAGCGCCGATGGGGTCACTGGCCTCTGTGCCCAGGCAGCCTCCCTGCCTCCTGCCTCCACTCACACGTTCCTTGAGGGCAGCTGGCCACACTCAGGGAGGCTTGGGCTAAGGTTCCTCCAAAGGGCCTCGGCCCAGGAGCCGCCACCCTCAGCCACGCTGCAGACACCTACCTGGCACCTCCTCTGAGAAACCTGGGACAAGGAGGAGTCTCAGGCAGGGCGGGGTGGGCCCTGATAGGGAGTGTGGGCACTGGCTGGGTGCACTGGATCCAACTGCCCCGAGGCTGCCCCGACAGGAGGGAGCCGGGCCTCTCGGAGACCCGACTTTCCAGCACCCAGCCCTGCAGAGGCCGGGCCGCCCCCGCCAGCCTGTCTGACCCCCGAGTGCCATGGAAAGCATCCCATTCAGACTCTGTGTGCTGTGCCCGGCTCTTCCTCCTCCCCAAGCCTTCCTGTTTCCGCCCTCTCCAGTCCTGCCATCTGCACTCCACGGGGACAGACCCAACCAGGGGCCCTGTGAACCTGAGCAGGGGGTGGCCCAAAGTCTGGGGACAGAGTGATTCAAACGCAGCTGCAAGGCCAGGTCTGGCGGCTCCCACGCTGCAGCCAGGGGGTGCCCCGGGAAGCACCAGGCGGGAGGTGCCTGGTTGGATGTTGACCCCTCCTGCCGCCCACCTGTCTGTGGAGCTCCTGGCGGGTGTGCCCCCGTGCCTGCTCCAGCTCCCACAGGCAGGCCTGCAGTGCGCTGGCCTCCCGCTGCGCCTCCTCCAGGACCAGCAGCTTCTGCTCCTTCTCTTCCTTGGACCGCTTAAAACTGATGAGGGTGCCACAGTCTGGGGTGCCCGCACCCCCTGGGGGCCGGCACTGCTGCCCAGCAGGTCACCGACCCCGGTCTGGACTCTCCACAATATCCCCTAACCCTGCCTCTGCAGGGCTCCCTGTCACCTTCTGCACACGTGTCCACCCGTGTCCCAGTGCCCAGCTGCATGGCCCCTGTGCACCATTTACCTCTTCAGCCCCTCCCCAGCTCATCCGTACCCACCTCTCCCTCTCCCTCACGTGCCCAGACGCTCAACATCCAGCCTAGCTTGGCACGTCTGCCACCTGCTATGAGGGCTGCTGGCCCAGCTGCCCCACAGGGGCCTTTCTGGAGCCCCAGCCAGGCTCTTGGCCTCCCTTTGCTCCCCAGCCTGGCACCACCTCCAGGAGGTCACCTGTGCCCTGTCTTCCTGCTGATGGGAACTTCCTGTGGCCAGGGTCAGGTGTGTCCATGTCCCCAGCCACCCTTGCACTGGCCAGCACTGCAGACCCCTTGGACCGGGCAGCAGGAGGCCTGCTTGGCATGTCTACCCACCAGTGGGGCCAAATCAACGGGATGCCCCTGCCTAGCCCCCTCGCCCAATCCTCCCTGCAGCCTGGGTGGGCAGTGGGCTGCAGGGACCCCAGCCGCTCCGGGGCGGCCGCCATACCTGGCCTTCTCCTGCTCAGCCCTGCGGATAGCGGCCCGCAGCTCGATGTTGGACAGCAACAGGACGTCCTTCTCACGGGCCTCGTCACCCAGTGCCCGGCGGGCCTCCTCCCGGCTCTCCTCGACGGCCTGCAGCTCCTGGCGCAGCGTGGCCAACCCCTCCTGAGCCACGGTCAGCTGTGCCTGCAGCCTCTCAGCCTGGGGAGGAGCATGCAGCTCTGGCGGGCAGCTGGGGACCGAGCTCCAGGGCGAGGCACAGGAGCCCTGCCCAGCGTGGTCCTCATGCACGTCGCGTGCCCCACAGAGCCACCAATCCTACTGCTGTGGAGGCTGTGGGGCGGCTACAGGGGCTGGGGCAGGGCCAGCCCAAGAGCCCAGCAGACCCCACCTTGACCCCCTGGGTCCGTCCCCACGCTGTGGCCTCCCTGGACCCTGGCACACTGACCGCTGGCTGGCAAGGCCTGCCTGGGACGTCGCTCAGCACTCGTGTCTGCACTGTCGTTGCCCACGTTCAGCTGCCCCTGCCCGGGGCCCTCCCACCTCCCGCTCCCAGCATACCATCATCTCTTTAGGCGACAGTGTGGTGCCCAGGTCGCTGCCTGTCCTAGTGTGGGCAGCAACCTTGACAGGCAGGCTGGGCGCTGACCCTGGCACAGGGACCCCAGCACAGTGGGGCTCACCCACTCCCTCAGCCCAGCCCTCCTTCCCCCATTGGCATGGGAGGCAGTGGGAGAGGGGTCTCTGGTGATGGGGACGGTGGGAGGAGGGTCTCTGGTGGTGGGGGCACAGTGAGAGGAGGGTCTTAGTTCCCTGCTCTGGACACCAGGCATCTCACAGTGCCCAGGAGAGCCCAGGGCTGGGGTCTGGAAGACAGCTGCAGCCTGGCGGAAGGGCTCCCCCTGCACCTATGCTCTGGGGTGGGGACTTGCTGGGGTTTGGCCCTGGTCCCATCTCCTGCCTCCCAGGTCTGAGCTCTGGGCCTGACCAAAAACCCTGGAGAGGACTCCATTCTGGCTCTGGCGTGCCCCAGGGGAGGAGGGGAGCTGGGGGGTGGGGAACCGGCAGGGCATGCCCAGGGAGGGAAGCCACAGAGACTCCGTGATGTCAAGTTGCCGGCTTGCCAAAAACAAAACCCTCTTTGCTGGCTGTTTTCACGGGATATTGTCCAGGCCCCCGGCCGGCCTGGCTCTTAAGGCTGCCGCTGTGATTGTTGTTCTGTTTTTGGGAAGGGCCAGAGCCTCCCCTCTGCTCCCCACCACCCCCACATGTGGGAGCCCTGACTGTGCTCAGCATTTTCCGCAGAGCTCAGCAGAAACGGGCCCAGAAGGTCAAGGACCAGCAAAAGGGCCCATGCATCATAAAAGAAACTGTTTTCATTTCCCAGGGCAGAGGAGGTGAAAGGAGCAAAACAAATGCGGAGAGAGCGGGAGGGCGCTGGAGGGGAAGGGGGAGGGTGCTGGAGGGGGGGAGGGAGGGCGCTGGAGGGGGAGAGGGAGGGCGCTGGAGGGGGAGAGGGAGGGTCCCCACACTCCCCCACCGCTCCCCCCTCCTGAGAACAGCCATCCCTTTCACAGGAATTTTACAGCCAAATCACTTAATGTGATTATAATCATTATTTCTTTACTAGAAATTGTATAAACAGCCTCTTTTAAAATCCCCTGCAGCGAGGCAGCTCCAGAGCCCGGCAGGGAGGGGGGCTGTGGAGGGACGGGTGAGTGTGCGTGTGTGAGGCAGAGCGTGTGCAGGTGTCGACTCTGTGCGTGTTGTGTGTACGTGTGTGCGTGTGCGTGTGTGTACGCCTGTGCAGGCCCTACGTATGTGCATGTGTGCATCTGCATGTGTGCATGTGAGTATATGTGTGTGTGAGCATGTGTGCGAGTATATGCATGTGTGTACATGTGCATGTGAGTATACACATGTGTGTGCATGCGTGTGCCTGTATGTGCATGAGTGTGCATGTGTGTGCGTGTGTACGTGTGAATGTGTGCACGTGAGTGTGCGTGTGCATGTACGTGTGTGTGCTTGCTGCGCGTTTCTGTGCACACCTGTGTGCACTGTGTGGTGTCTGATTCCAGCGTGAGGGTTGTGTGGGTGTGAGTGCGTGGGGCATGCGTGTGTGTGTGCGTTTGTGTGCGTTCAGCGTGTGTGTGCGTTCGTGTGTGTGTGTTCAGCACGCGTGCGCCACTGTGTGTGGCGTGTGCACAGGTGTGTGTGGTCTCACTGTGTACGTGATGTGGACACACGCGTGTGCACACATGTGTGGGCCTTAGCCAGGGTCTGAGCCTGAAGTTCCTCCAGCTTAAAGGCTGTGAGAAATGTTGCGGTTTCCATGGTGACCCGGGCCGGCCTGGCGCCGGACGGGCTGGGCTCGCTTTTCTGTAAGATTGCTCCTCTCGTCCCCATCACCGTCCTCACCTTTCAGCCCCCACTCCCTATTCTGGGACTGCCGCCCTGAAAGCCTGACCTTCCTGTGAGGCGTGCGCTCCCCTCCTTGGGGCCCGCAGAACCACGACGCCCCGTCCCCTCCCTCGCCCCGCTGCCCCAGTTTTGAAATCTCCTTTTGCTTCCTGGTGTGGCCGCTGACCAGGCCTGTCTTTGAAATCTGTTGAAAGGAGACCTTTCTCCTTGGGGCCAGTGTAAACAGCCGCTCGTGTTCAATCACGTTCTCTTCCTCTCTCTGGCCCGCCTCGTGTGTGTGCCTGGGGAGGGCTGAGCCCCTCTCCCCTCTCTGCCCCTGCTGGGCGCCCGGCACCAGGTCAGCTGCGCAGCCCCCAGCCCTGGCAAGCCGCCCAGGGAGTGTGCGGGGCCGCCCCGTCCCCAGGGGCCCCGCTGGGGCTGCAGCTGACCTTCCCCTCCTCCAGCCCAGTCCCTGTGCCCTCCTGCCCTCGCCACACACAGGCATCCCCCTGTCCCAGCAACCCCCTCAGGAACGCCTCTGCCATCTGCCTGCCTGCTGAGCCCAGGACAGCCTAGCCTGGCCCCTCCTGCCCCCTGCCCATGACTGTTCCCCACCCCACATCACCATCATGTGGCTCCTGGGCGCCTCCGTGTCAACCCAGGGCCACCCTGCAATCTCCACTAACCCCCTGCTTCTTTTCTTGCCCACTGCCCCAAATCCAGCCTCCCCCCACCCTAGTGCCCAGCACAGTGCAGTCCATGCCCCTGCTGTGTGGGCAGAGAGCCCAGCTTGTCTGGGGCTTCCCCTTGCCTCAGCGGATGGCACAATGGGTCTCCTGGCCGAGGGTCCGGCTTCCCGTTCGCCCCAGGTCACGCCTGTCTCTCGGGAAGGCTTTGGGAGCCAGGCCCTCCTGACTCCACTTTCTTAACTGTGTGTGGAAAGACGGGGCTGGCTGGACTCCGGAGCCTTCGGCTGCGTGGCTCTGGCCGCCCTTTCACATGCTGGCCCTCCCAGAGGCAGGCATGCCCCACCCATGCCCTGGGAGCCGGCCAGTGTCCCAGGCACCTTCCCAGGACACGCAGGGCAGCAGGAGCTGTGTTGGGACCCACGGCAGCCTGTGGAGAGCTCCCCACCTGCTCAGCTGGCACCCAGACTCAGCCAAGTCCACTTTCACCCCAAAGTCAAACTCACCCCTTCAGGGGGCTTAGAAATGACGCCTTCTTTTCCCTGAAAACCAGCGTCAGCTTCTCTCAGCCAATGGCCCGGGCCAGGCACCGTTTCATCTGCTCAGGAGCCTGCGCTTGGCTTAGTGCCTGGTGTGAGGCCCCTCGCCCACGACCCCTGTGGCTGCCTTTTCTTACCCTCGGGGGCCACGCTGCCTCCTCCAGCGTACGGCCTCTCTTTCCTCCTGACACCCCACTCTCCACGCACTCCTGTCTCGGAACTGGCCCCACTGTCTTCTCGCCGCTGGCACCCCCGAGCCCCCAGCCCTGCCCCTCACCTCTCTCTCCACTTGGCCTCGCTCAGCCACCAGGTCCCGGAGGCGCTCACGCAGGGCCGTGGTCTCCGTCTGATGGGCTGAGATGGCATCCTCAAACTGGGCCTGGAGGGCCTTCAGCTCCTCAGTCGTGGCGCTGACGGTGGCCTGGGGGCAGCAGGAAGGCCACAGTGGCACCAGGGAGCCGGGCCCTTGGCAGTGGGGGTGAGGTAAGGCCAGGAGCTGGGAGAGGGAGGAGGTGCGGTGGCCGGGACGGGAGCTGGGCCCTGCCGACCGTCCTGCAAGCTCCGGGCAGTGGCTCTCGGTGTCCTAAACTGTCAACGGGCTGCCGGGATGAGGGGAAGTTCACGGTCCCTGCCACCTGTGACGTGTGAGTACCCACAGACGCACCAGGAGGCAGCCCCTCAGCTCAGCCTGCGCCCTGGGGCAGGGCCCACCCCCACCGGGCCCACCACACACTCGGGGCCCTACCCTCCATTTGGGACTGAGCTCAGGGGTCTGGACCCCGTCGCCCACACCCCCAGGGTGTCCTCTCAGGAAGCGTATGGGCCTCGGGGCAGTGTGGCCAGCAGAGATCCTCGGACCAAGAGGTCCCAGGCTCAACCTACGGCCCCTTGTTCATGGACAGATGCCACCCTCTTCACCCCAAGCCCCAGACCCTTCAGGTCCCCACCCCGCTTCCTCTCGAGGCCGTCCCCACTGCACCCTGCCCAGGTTGGGGCAGCAGGGCAGGTGGGGCTCAGGGTGGCCTCAGCTTCCTGGGTCTCAGCGTCCTCAGTATGAGGGATCAGAGCCCCGCCCTGCTCAGGTTCCACAGCCATGGGTTTGGGGCGGCGGACCAAGCCTCCGGGCAGCGGCAGCCGGCTCCCTCCAGAGCTGGCTCTGTGTCCCCTTGGGCATAGGTACCCCACCTGCCTGCCTGGATCCTGCTGAGTTGGGCGTTCCTGCAGCCTGTGCACCCCGCTCTTGGAAAAGGAGCCGTGCGGCTGCCCCCTGTCCTCATTCTGCACCACCCGCTGCAGACCCTCTGGACGGACTAGGTTCCTCTTGGGTGACCAGGCTCTGTGCCTCTGTGTGCTGCAGCGCTCCAGTGACTGGTGCTCCTGACACCCGGCTGCAGGACCCCCTGTGAGGGCCTCGGGGACAGGGCCCCGGCTGGAGCCGCTGCAGGTGGCGGCTCAGCCTGCGGCGCACGCTCTCCTGTCATCTGGCGCCTGGTGCGCCTTGGCTGGCATTCCTCTCCTCCTGCTCCTCTCAGCAGTTTTAATTTCCATTTTCTGAGCCGAGGTGGCAAAGGAACCCTTAACGAGCTCCCCAGGGAGCCCAGCTGGCTGGCAGGCCCGGTCCCGAGTCCGGGGGAGACTCAGGGCCAACGCAGGAGAAGGCTTCAGAAGCCAGCACTGGCTCCAGAGGCGGCAGCTCGCAGGACCCCAGGAGGCCTTTCCTGGTTCCCTGCCCATGGGGTGGAGCCGAGGGAGCTGCTGGGCCAGAGGTCAGGAGGAGGGAGGGGCACAGTCACAGGCCCGATGCCAGGCTTGGCCCTCCCAGGCCTCAGGGGCAGGATCGGAGCAGGGTGTGGGGCAGCTCTGGTCGCCCCCTGGGCTGCTGGGTGCTCCTCTGGGCAGCCCTGCTTGGAGGGACCAGGACTCCGGGTGGTGGCGTCAGGCAGAAGGAGCTGAAGCAACATCCAGCAGCCACCTCCTCATTGCGGTGCCCCTCCCGCTGCGCAGTGCCCTGGGGGCCTCCTGGGGACCCGGCACAAGCCCTCCATCCTGGCTCTGAGTCGCTAAGCGTCTCCCAGGGCCCTGCTGCGTGGGTGTCCCAGCCCACCGCACCCAGGCGGCCCTGTGCTGGCCTCTGTGCAGCCAGGGAGAAGGGCTCCCGTTCAGGACGGACACAGAAGGGGCCTTCGTCCCGGGCCTGGCACCACAGGCTGTGTTCCGTTCTCTGCCCCCTGGGCCATGCATTCAACACCAGTCGGGTGGGTATCTAACCCTGTGTCCTCGCCAGGGACGGGGAGGAAAAGGATGGCCTGAATTTAAAATAAGCCAACACGCACCAGAATGAATGGCCTCGTCACCAAACAGCCAGGAGCTGGAAGGACAGAGGCAGGAGGCTGGTGTGGGCCCAGCTAACAGGGTGTGTGCAGTCACCAAGGGCAGGGAGGGGCCGGAGCTGGGGTCGGCGGTCAGCCTCGCCCTCGATCCCACCGGCTCCTGGCAAGAGAGGCGCTGGGTCTGGTTCCTCCAGCCCATTCCCTCCCTGCCCAGGGCACCTCGCACCTGTCCGTTCAGGGCCAGTCCCCTGCCACCCAGGACAGCAGTCCCGATCCCACACAGCCACTCCTCGAACTCCCTGGGCCTTGGAGGCCCTGCTGAGGCTCCCTCATCCGTGTCCAATCCTGGGGTCTGGCCACTCCCCGCTGTGACCCGGGCCCCCATCCATGTCCTGTTGGTGGGCTCTCACCGTACCCCCACCCATGAGCTGGGTGCCAATCACTGGGCTCTGGTCACTCCCTGTGCCAATCACTGGGCTCTGGTCACTCCCTATGAGCCCTTCCCAGTCTCTTCATTTCCCATTGTGGGACCTGGTACCATGTCACAGATGGGCTGAAGCCTTGGTGTTCTGCAAGCAACAACAGTGGGTGCCCAGCCTTGCCCAGGCCCGAGTCCTCCTCCCAGAGTCCTCATCCCCAGAACTTCCCTCCTCAAAGGCCCCCTCCCCAGACCCTTCCTCCCCAGAGTCCTCCTCCCTACAGCCCTCTTCCCTACAGCCCTCCTCCTGAGAGTCCTCCTCCCCAGAGCCCTCCTTCCTACAGCCTTCCTCCCCAGAGTCCTCCTCCCCAGAGTCCTCATCCCCAGAGTCCTCCCTACAGCCCTCCTGCCCAGAGCCCTATTTGCTGCTGCCGGCCCAGGCCCCTGGACTTGGGCTCCAGAGGAGGAGTCAGGGGTCCCAGGTGACCCCTGCTGGCTGCCTGCAGCAGCCTTTGTCCACACGAGGGCCTCTGTTCACTGGCTCAGGATGGGTGGCTGTTTGCTGGGGGGCTGTCCAGCCTCTCTCCTGGGCCCACTTAGGACTCAACGTGGGTGTCCTTTTCTGCTGTGTCCTTGGGTGCAGGGCCAGCTGCCTGGGGTCCCAGAGCTTCTCCTTTGGTAGGATCTGTCTGCGAGTGAGTTCCCCGAGGCCGGTCCTCTCTGTGAGCAGCCCCAGCGCACACACGGGCGGGCTCAGCCACTCGCTGCTGGGTCGTGTGCAGCCCCCGGCTGGGCCAGGCCTCCCTGCCAGTTCTAGGCTAAGGGAGAACTGGGCCAGGTGAAGCCGGGTGCCCACAGCTTTGGTTCACTGGGGCCTTTCCTGCATAGACTGTCCCTCCCACCAGGAGCCCTGAAGGCGCCCAGGGGAACTGAGTCTCAGGAAGGGAGGGATGGAGAGGGACATGCCGCTAGGGCTAGGCGGGAGGGGTGGCCTCCCGGGTCTCCGGCACCTGCTCGGCTGTGCACGTGGCTGGGCGGCATGGACTCACCTGTGCGTGCTCCTGCTGGCCCTGTGCCTCCTGCTGCGCCCGCTCCAGCGCCCTCCTGGCCCTGGAGAGCTCCTTGCTCAGAAGGCTCCGCTCTTCGGCTCTCAGGGACAGGGCCTGGACAGGACAGGGTGTGCTTGTGAGCAAGCTGGGGAGGCTTGGGGAAGGATCAGGCCCCCCGTAAGGAGAGGCTGAGCGCAGGGCTGCCCGGGACACAGCGGGCTCGTCTCCACATCCCTGCCCTGGGAGCAGAGGCGGCACCACAGAGGCAGCCTGGGTCCCGGGCCCTTTCACGCTCCAGCGCCCGCCCTCTTTCTGACATCGCCCTGCCTCTGCGTCTGCGCTTGGCCACGTCCCTGGGGTGGCCTCCCCTCCCCGGCCTGTCCAGGATCCTGCCCTTTTCCATGCAGTTTGGGGGCCTTCGTGAGCCATCCCCACCCCTCTAGGCCACACTTGCCACAGCGCAGAGAAGGCAGTGAAAAGCCTGAAAACGCTCCATCTTCCTGACGGTGTGGGAGACGCGTGTGAACAAGACACCCTAAGCTCCAAGGGTGGCACCCTGCCCCATGGAGAGGCTGTGGAAGCAGCGCCTGTCGGATGCCCACGCGGATCTCCTCTCCACGTCCACTTTGGGGAGGGCAGCCCGGAGACACGCGTGTGCCTGTGTGGGGTGACCTCTGCCCAGTGCTACCAGTGTCTGTGACATTGCTATAATGGCAGCAGGGAACCCACATGCCCACGGAAGGGAGACCAGCCAGCCACGGGAAGACCCAGGCCCGGAAGCTCAGCCCGCAGCGCAGAAAGCGAAGCACAGAGCTCCCGCCAAGCGGGTGGAGAGGGTGGAGAAGACAAAGGCCCAGGAGCCCGCTTGGACTTTTCAGGCCATTTGTGTTAAAAACGCGGTGTTGAGGAGTGGCACTGCCTTTCTGTGTGTGAGCAACCTTTGGAGTGTTGTCAAGTCTTTGTCCTGGGTCCTTGGAGGAAGCTTCTAAAGCCTGGGGTTTCCCAAAGGTGAGGTGCGTCTGTCTGCTATTCCCGGCAGCCAGGGACCACAGCTGAGTTACGCTAACGAGGTGACTCAGGTGGGCTCCTGAGTCACCTCATTAGGATGGAGCTGTCTGCTGGGAGAGCCTCATCAGAAGGTTAGGGCTTTGAGCCTAACAGGTTAGGATGTCAGCCTAACCTCCCAGCAGTCAGGGAAGGGGCTTCAGTCACATAAGCACCCCTCCACCAATCATGCTGCACGGTGAAACCCCAGTAAAAACTCAGGAGGCAAAGCGTGGGGAGCCTCCCGGTTGCTGAGCACGCTGGGGGGTGCTGGGTGGGCTCCACAGGGAGGTGCAGCCGCCCGTGTCTGCCACGTGCTCGCGTGTCCCCTCTTCTGGCTGGTCCTGACTTCCATACCTGATAGTGAAACTCCAGAGTAACAAGAGGCTTTCCTGAGTTCTGTGCGTCATTCCAGTGAATGACTGAAACTGAGAGGATCATGGGAACCCCCAACCTTATGTCAGTCGGTCAGAAGTGTGGATGGCCTGGACTTGTGGATGGTGTCTGTGAGAGGACCACGCCCTGTGGGGTCTGCACGCTCTCTGGGTCAGAATTGCATGGGGTATTACAGAGGAATCAGAGAGAAAGGACAGCTGTTCCCTGAGTGGCCTGGTGAGGGGGGCAGGAGCTGGGGACTCTTCATCGAATGGCTTTTACGTTCTAAACAACTTTAAAACCAGTGTCCCCCTTGCTCCCCATCCCTCCCTCCAGGCCCTGCTTGTTTTGCTTGGCTGGAGGTCTGCTAGCCGTTCGGGAATCTGTCCTCGCTGGACTCTGAGGTCTGTGCGGGTGGGGCCCTCTCTCTCCCTTCTGCTGCCCTCATTACCGGACACACAGCAAGGGAATGTTTGTTAGAATTTTAGCCAGAATTCATCAAATGTGGAAGGGTGCATTCTCTGGGGTGAGGACTTCCCTTTGCAAACAGGTGTGAGCCAGCGTCACTGGGGTGCGGTGGAGACAGCCCCCCGGGACAGCTGCTCCAGGTCTTTGGCTCTTGCTTCACATATAATTCCTTTCTTCGTTAGAGAAATAAGATCCCCAAAGACTGTTCTGTGACTGGGCCATCACAGGTTGCTCAGGGAAGCGCTGGGAAGCTTCCCACTGGGCCCCCAGCCCCACTCCTCCGCTCAGTCTCTTTACTCGGGGCTCCTGGAATAAAGGGCAGCTGGCTGAGCAGAGGCCCCAGGAAATCCCACTTCCTGCCCTGGCAAGGGCCCCACAGGCCAGGCCATCTGTGCTGTGCCCCTGGGGTGCCCTTATCGTGGGTCTGCTGTGGGTCCAGGGGAGGGGGGCACTAGCACACAGCGTCTGTCTGCCCTCTTAGCCTGCGCTCCTGTTTTTTTTTTTTTTGAGACGGAGTCTCGCTCTGTCACCCAGGCTGGAGTGCAGTGGCACAATCTCGGCTCACTGCACTGTCCGCCTCCTGGGTTCAAGCCATTCTCCTGCCTCAGCTTCCTGAGTAGCTGGGACAACAGGCACCTGCCACCATGCCTGGCTAATTTTTATATATTTTAAAAATAGAGACAAGGTTTTGCCATGTTGGCCCGGCTGGTCTTGAACTCCTGACCTCAGGTGATCCACCGGCCTTGGCCTCCCAAAGTGCTGGGATTACAGGGATAAACCACTGTGCCCGGCCTGCGTTCCTGTTTGACGGAGATCCCCTCACTGGGAAGCTGGGATTACAGTCACATGAGAACAGGCCACGCTGCCTCGTGGTCTGTCCCGGATGGGAGTGAGGGGCTCTGACGGGTCACCCACTGCCCCAGATGCGTTGCTTCCCCCAGAGGCTCTTTCCTCATGTATCCAAGGGGAATGATAGCGCCACCTCCCAAGGGCCTTCGGACTCACCTTTCTCCTCCTTTGCCTGGCTCTCAGCCTCTCTCCCACGGACCCTGACCAGCCTCTCCCCAGCCTCCTGGCCCCAGGCTCTTTCCCACCAGCTCCTATCATATCCTCCTGCTCCAGAACATCCGCTGGCTCCCTGTTGCCTGATGCTGGTGCCGAGCCCCATTCCAGCGCCACCGCACACCTGTCCTGCCGCCTCCACCCCATGCAGCCATCCCCAGATGCCTGCCAATGCCCGCGTCCTCTCCAGCCAGCACCGCTGTTCGTCCTCGAGGCCTCCCGTCCTCCACGTAAGGAGGCAGAGGCGGGGGCAGTTAGGAGCACAGGCCTCCGTGTGGATCTGTGCAGGGCCGTCGTCTGTGGATCTTAGTTTTCCTACCAGTCAGATAGGGATGATTAGAGCTTGTGCCTGAGTGTTGCAAGCATCAAATATTAAATGCGGAGTCTGATAATACATCCTGGCCATGTCAGCTCCTCCAGCTCCTCCTGAAGTTTGTAATTTTTGTTTTGTTTTTCTGAGACGGACTCTCCATCACCCAGACTGGAGTGCAGTGGAGCGATCTCAGCTCACTGCAACCTCATCTCCCAGGTCAAGTTATTCCTGCCTCAGCCTCCTGAATAGCTGGGATTACAGGTGCCCTCCACCATGCCCAGCTAATTTTTTGTATTTTTAGTAGAGACCGAGTTTCAGCATGTTGACCAGGCTAGTTTTGAACTCTCAAGTGATCCACCTGCTTCAGCCTCCGAAAGTACTGAGATTATAGGTGTGAGCCACAGCACCGGGCCTGTAATTTGTACCGATATCTTTTAGTCCTTATCACCCCATGTGATGACACACATGTGGACGTGTCCATCTGCCCATTCCTTTCACCAAAAGTGAATTTTGGCATGAGACATGGGAACAGCCTAGACTCAGGGGAGCTTTTATAGGGCCAGCGGCTGAGTCTTAACTGCTGTTGGGATGGGAGGATGCCCTGATATGTGGCTGGTGGTGGCCTGCTTGGCTTGGTCGTCGAGTTGGATACACTGATGGATGGCTGGATGACCAGCTGGCTGGTGGAGCAGGTGGTTGGATGGATAGACACATGGATAGGTGGTTGAATATGTGGGTTGGCAGCTGAGTTTGTGGACAGATGGAGGGATGTTAAGTGAATGGATGCATGGGTGGCCAAATGAATTGTGGGTAGTTGTGTGGATGGAAGGTTGGGAGCATGGATAGTTGGATGGATAGTCAAATGAACTGACGGGTGGCTGCATGGGTGGTGACGTGCGGACGGACAACTAGGAATGTGGACGTGCGGCCATGTATCTGGTGGACAGCTAAATGCATGGAAAGAATGTATCTCCGAGTGAGTGGGTGGATGAGGACAAGCACATAGAGGGACAGCTGAGGGCAGAGATGGGTGGGTGGGTAGATGAATAGTGGGTGGGTGGGTGGATGAATGGGTGGGTGGATGGATGAACGGGTGGGTGGGTGGATGGACAGGTGCAGGGATGGATGGAGGGGTGGGTGGGTGGATGAGCAGGTGGGTGGGTGGATGAATGGGTGGGTGGGTGGATGGACAGGTGCAGGGACGGATGGAGAGCTGGGTGGGTGGATGAATGCATGGGTGGATGGATGCGTGAATGGGTAGACGGATGGATGAACTGGTAGGTGGGTGGACGGATGGAGGGATGGATGGGGAGATGGATGGATGGATGGGTGGGTGGGTGGATGAGTGGATGGGTGGAAGGATGGATGGAAGAGATGGATGGATGGACAGACAGGTGGATGGATGGGTGGTTGGGTGGACATCTGTCCACCGTGACTGCTGTGGAAGAACAAAGCTACAATAGCAGTGACCTGGAAAGGCTGTACCTGCCTGAGGTGTGGCGCCATGCAGCCCTTGCACTGGGTCAGAGACAGCAGGTGCAGGTGGGCGTGAGCAGCCCCGCCGCCCCCAGCCCCGCCATCACCTGTTGCATCTTGTGCTTCCATTTGGAGAAGGCGCTCGTCCCGCTCCTGCTTCAGACTCTGAATTTCCTCCTTCAGAGCCTCCCTCTCAGCTGCGCTCTTTGCCACCAGCTCCCTCTCCTGCTCCAGCCGGCATCTGGCTACCTCCTTCTCCTCTACCAGGGACAGACTCAAGGTCTCCTGGGCAAGGTAAAGGGATGGGTCCAGCAGGTGTCTGTGGTCCTGAGTGAGACCTAGCCCGGGGGACGCCAGGACTGATGGTCCGCAGAGGCTGTCCAGTCCAGCCAGATGCACCCCCCGCACCTTCCCCTCAGGGTCACCGGAGCAGGGAGGGCCTCTCTGGGTCCCAGCACCTGCCAGCCCACAGCGATCTATCAGTATGTAACCATTCCTGAGTCTCTGCAGCGCACCTGCCATAAAGGGGTGCAAAGACGTATCAAACCAGGCCTCCTGGAAGCCTGTGACCTGTGGGACCGCTGCAGTGGGTGTGGGGCCCCCTTAAGCCCCCACCCTTCACACTGCACCAGACCAGCCAACAGTCCATCCAGCTTCTGCCATGAGGGAGCCCCGCCCCAAATACAAACCCAAGCCCAGTGTGAGGGCCCCACGGGGAAGGCCCTGGATGCCCGTTTGAATTATAAAGAGTGAGCAGGTGCTTGCCCAACCTTCCCTGGCCGGGCACCTCCGCCTCTGAGCTTGGTCTCCAAGGGCCCCCTCCTCCCAAGGGCCTGCCATTCCCTGGGACCTAGTAACCTTCTAGGAAGCTACTGGTGGGCCTGTGGGAAGCAGACCTTCTCTCGCTGGAGCTGTGCCAGGGCCTCACGGTGTGCCGATGCCTGGCTCTCCAGGGCCAGCTGTGCTCCCCGCTCCTGCTGTGCCACCTGTCGCTGGAGCCGCCCCATGTCCTGCCACAGCTTCAGCTCCTGGGCCTCCCAGTCACGTTGTAGCTGCCTCATTTCCACTGTGGGGTGATGGGTAAGGTGCACCAGGGCCTGGCATGCGGAGCTCCGAGCCCTTTGGAACCACCGAGGGAGTAACAGCCTTGGGGGTGACAGTGGCCGGGCTCTGGGAGTGGGCGACCAGCACATGACAGGGTGGGCTGCACAGGGTGCAGGGTCCAGGGCTGCAGATGGAGGCCACACACTGACCCCGTGGCCACAGCGTGGTGCCCCGCCTCGGGCTGGTGCCAGCTGCAGCCTGGGCAGGGTGTTGCTGCCCCTCAATGGCTGGGGTGGCCCAATGTGCTCAGTCACAGGAGCTCCAGGCCCTCGTTTGTGCCCCTGTGGGCTCTGGAGAGGGGGCGCAGCATGTGTGGGGACTGAGTTCCACTCCAGGGGCCCCTCCATGGCTGACTTTCGGGGAACGGGCTGGGGGAGCCACCCCTGGAGCACCTTGCAAGGCCTGCCGCGTGAGTCCTGCGCTCCGGGCCTCCTCCTGCAGCTGTTCCTGCAGCTGTGTGGTCAGCCTGCTGGGCCTCCAGGAGGCTGCTCTCCAGGGAGTCCCTCTCCGCCCTGCAAAGGAGCAGCAAGCAACGCATCATCCCCAGGATCCCGCCCACAGGATGCTCGCGATGGTTCTACACAGGTGTCACCGAGGATCAGCTGAAACGCGAAGTGGAAGAGTGTTCTAGAAGTGATGGTGCATCTTGTCTCTGGGGCACCGTACGCTGTTAACAGGGATGAGGAAACCGTTTCCTAGTCTCATGCCATGAAAAGAGTCACCCCAGAAAGCCACCCCCACATTAGACCCCCATGTGCGGCATGGTCCCTCGTGTGGAAAGCCTGCTTGCTGCCTTCGTGCCCGGAGTGCAAGCGCCACCATGCAGCAGTGCCCACTCCCGGGAGGCGAAAGACCCCACGTTTCTAACAATCAGTTCATCAGGGACCCAATCGTCAGGAGCACGTTTCACCGTCACCGTTCGCTGCCCTGTGCTACGTGTTTATCTGTGAACAAAGCAATGCACGGAGCAACACGTGCAAACACAGACTCGTACCTGGAGGTGCTCAACCCCAGACAGATGCCGTGGGGCGGGCCGTGGGCCACGGGGACGCTGGCAGCTCCTGACTGGGCCCTGCCTCCATTTATCTTCCATCTTTCTACCCACCGCCACCCACTTCTTCAGGGGTAGAGCACCCCCCAGCCTTCTGGGGCTCCCCAGGGCCCGCAGACAGAGGTCCTCTGGGCTCAGGTCTGAACCCCCAGAAACCTCACTCTGCTGCACGCTGTTCTGCTCCCCCTCAGCCCCTCCTCCCAGGAGTGCTCCCCATGGCCCCATCCCACACTCCCGGGCTTGAGTGCTCACTTCACCGGGCAGCTCTTCCCTCTTCTGCATGTGGGAAGCCCTCCCTTCAATCAGCCTGGAAACCCCTCCTCCTAGAGGCCCGCCCAGCATCCTGTAGGGGATGTGGCCTCTGCCACTCAGGCATGGGACGTCTTTGCCTGAAGCCTGGGGACCTGTGCGTGTGCCCAGCCTCTGTCTCTATGGGGACCCAGGAGCAAGTTTAGGGGCTCTGCCATTGAGTACTGAGATTGGAGGCCTGGCCCCCGCCAGGGTGCTCCGAGCAGGGTGGGGCTGCTTGGGATGTGGGCCCAGGGCGGACTTGGTCCGTCTTGCTGGCTGACAGTCGGGCCAGGACCCCGTGAAGGGAGGGAGGCCTCGGAAAGGCAGGGCCGGCTCGCAGCTGAAGAGGCAGCTGATCTCAGGTACGCGTGCAAGGACCTGCCAGTCAGTCCACGTCCCGCCTGCCCTTGCCCTCCGAGAGCCTGCAGTATGGCAGGGTACAGAAGGGAGCAGGTCCCGCTGCTGAAGGCTGTCAGGGCCTGGGGATGCTGACAGTGGAGCCCCTTCACATAGCTGACCGTGGGGAGGTATCCTCAGAAACGGGGGGCCGCGGCAGGACTCCTGCACCGGATGGTCCCCAGTGTTACCCGAGAGCTCATCAACAAGGCGGCGCCTGCACTCTCCGGCCCCCGGGCCAGTTGTAGATACACAGAGTGTGTCAGGGCAGAGGTGGCTTCAGGACAAGCCCCTCTGTCACCAGAGGCTCAGCTGGCCATCAGGACGCCCTGACGGTGGCCTGTGACGCTGAGGCCTGCAGGGCAGCCATGTGCCGGGGCCCCGGGTCAGTGGCAGGCCTGAGCGGATGTCGGGGCAGGACTCAGGCTGCGGAGGGCTCTGGCCGGGGCCTGTATTCTGGGCGGCAGACCCTGCCGGCAGGAACTGGGGCCCCCACCCCTGGGCCTTGGAGCCCTCAGGGCTCAGGAGGGAGCACGGGCCTGGAGCCCAGGCCACGGCAGGCAGCCTCCCTCGGTTTTCCTTCCCGACTGCGGCGCGAGCCTTCGTTCGGAGGAAAGGTTTGTCTGCGAAGAAGCTCAAGGATCCCAGACCCCAAAGTTTCTCATGCCTCCCAGACTCCGGAATTCCAGGAGGAAATCTTTTCAACAAAGACACTTAGCAGTGCCCGTGAGGTGCAGAAGCCAAGCCAGCGGGTTTCTGCAGAGGCCGCAGGACTCACATCACCAGGCAGCTGCCGGCACACATCCTGTTCCTGCCTGTGGGTGCCCGTCCCAACCTCTGGGAGTTGCCCCGAGGGCCTCTGGGCTCACCAGCCCGCACTCTCCGCCTCGCGGTCACTGGGCTGACCCTGCTCCTGGCTCCAGGGACGGGCGTGCTGCCCAAGCTTGGGATCAACCCTGTGACTCCGGCTCCCAGGGTTGGTGCAGGGATGTCAGGCAGCCCAAGGTGGCCCATGGCAGCAGTAGCTCTCGGGCCTTGTGGGGAGAAGGGTGCTCTGCGTCTGCTGGAAGGAGGACCCCTGGGTGGCTGCAGGCCATCTTGCCACCTCTCAGAGTGAGCCTGCCTGGGAATGAGATCCTCTCAGAATCAAGCTGTGCTCAGAGAAGGAGAGGCAGGATTCCGAGGGCACTGTGGGAGTGCCTGAATCCAGCCATGCCTGAAGCTGGCTTCACCCTGAACTCCCCGGCTCTGTGAGCCAGAGAGTCCCCAGCTGCCTTCCACGGGTCTGAGCTGGGCTTCTGCACCTGCCACCACCTCGTTCAGGAAGGCGACCCCAGGGTTTTCACTGGCTTGACTTCTAGATGCCCTCCTCCGACCCAAAAGCTCTGTGCTGGCCTCTCACGCTAGCCCAGCCCACCTGCACTCACTCCCGGTCCCATGTGATGCTGTGAGCGCCCCTGTACCCTGCCACACTGCAGGCTCTCGGAGGGCAAGGGCAGGCGGGACGTGGCCTGACTGGCAGGTCCTTGCACGTGTACCTGAGATCAGCTGCCTCGTCAGCCGCGAGCCGGCCCTGCCTCTGCAAGGCCTCCTGCTGGGCCAGCAGCTGGGCCCGCTCCTCGGACAGAGCGCCCTTCTCCTTCACGGCTTGCTGCAGAGTGTCCATCTGGGCCTCCTGGTCCTGCAGGCTCTGAGCCAGCTGCTCCTCCAGGGCCTGTTTCTGGCAGGTGACCTAGGGGAGGTGGGAAAGGGACAGTCGGCAGAGAAAGAGCGTAAGTGGGTGGGCATGGGCCTCTTGAGGGGACGGACGGACTCCAGAAGTGGTGCTTTTGTGCAGCACGGCATGGACGTGACAGTGGAAAAGGGGGTGACATAAGGCATATCGGATCTCAGAAGCACACGGATGTTTTTACAGTAGAGGGGGCATCCACTCGGGCACCCTGACGGAGACGGTATCGAACTGGGCACTCCCAGGTAGGAGCCAACTGTCAATCTGAGTGGCACCATTTGTCTGTCCTTCAGTGTCCGGGGGCAGGAAGCATTGCACAGAGATGGCGATAGAAGGTAACAGAAAACCAGAGTGCTGCAGCCCAGCCCTTCCCCCAAGAACGTTATAAAAGTCTCGGTGGAATGCATCACAAGAACATGTAAGAGACCTCGGAGAGCTGAAAGGCAGCGGGGGCTGAAGGGGCTGAGGTCTCGGAGGGGAGGCGCAGGAACGCGCCCAGCCTCGGGGTCTCCTCTTTCCGTAAGGCATTTGCTGATTTAAGAGTTTGGGTTAAGCCGGGTGCTCAGGCCTGTCATTGCAGCCCTTGGGGAGGCCAAGGTGGGTGGATCGCCTGAGGTCAAGAGTTCAGGACTGGGCCAACCAACATGGAGAAACCATCCTACCAAAAATGCGAAGTTAGCCAGGCGTGGTGGCGCTTGCCTGCCATCCCAGCTCCTCGGGAGGCTGAGGCAGGGCAGAGGTTGTGGAGCTGAGATTGTGCCGTTGCATTCCAGCCTGGGCAACAAGAGTAAAACTCTGTCTCAAAAAAAAGAGAGAGAGTTTGGACTGAAACACTGAGATGCCAAGAAGAGCTTCTGGCAGTGCCATGGCCTGAGGGGGACAAAAATTAGGGTTCAGAGCCACCAAAGCAAACAGGCCCTGATAAATATTACAAGACATCAAGCTATATTCACAGAAAAGCTTGACCCTAGTGGTAGTGGAGAATCAGAAACGGACCATCCTTCATCATCGACACTGAATCATCCCGATCCCTGACTGGGTTACAGTGACCTTCTGGGTTACAGTGACCATCTGCCTTCACCGCCTGCCAGGGTCAAAAGGAAGTCCTGGCCGGGCGTGGGGGCTCATGCCTGTAATTCCAGCACTTTGGGAGGCCAAGGCAGGCAGATAACTTGAGGTCAGGAGTTCAAGACCAGCCTGGCCAACATGGTGAAACCCCATCTCTACTAAAAATATAAAAATTAGCCAGGCGTGATGGCACATGCCTGTAATCCCAGCTATTCAGGAGGCTGAGGCAGGAGAATCACTTAAACCCAGAAGGCAGAGGTTATGGTGAGCCAAGGTCGTGCCACTGTGCTCCAGCCGGGGTGACAGAGTGAGACCTCTTTCTCCCCTCCACCCCCCAAAAAACAAACAAAAGCAACGTAAAAAGTAAATTATTTCTGGAAGAAGAATAGCATCATCGAGATCCTCAAATTATGTCTCAAATTTATTCTATGTAAGACTGACTATTTGATCAAGACCTGGCATGTCAGGAGACAGGACCACATGACCAGAAAACCACAGATAAGAGCAGAAAATAGGCACAGAGCCTCCCACCCTGGTAATCTAGATACTGGAGTTATCAGGCACAAACTTTAAAATAGCCGATCAATACGTTCAAGAAGCTGGATAGCAAGATGCAGTTTAGCTACAGAACTGGATCCTAAATATAAAAAACACAATTTAAAATACAATAACTGAAAGTAAAGAAACTCAGATGAGGGCAGACTAGACAGAATGAAAGAAAGGGCTGGTAACCTGGAATGTACCGACTCAATCACAAAAGGAAAGAAGAGTGGAAAATACACAAAAGGGTGTTATAGACAAACAGGACAAGCTAAAAATGCACACCCGATGTGGAGTTAGTTTCAGAAGAGATGAGGGGGCATATTTGAACAGATACAGGCCAAAATTTTTCCAATCGAATAAAATACTCTAGCCACAGATTCTGAATGAGCTACAATCCCCTAAAAGGATAAATTAAAAGGAAAATGTCACAAACATGCAACTTAGCGAGTTTCTGAATACCAAAGATAAAGAAAAATGTCTTTAAAAAAAAAAGGGAAAAAGACACGCAGCTGTGAAAGTAACAAGGCTGACATTTGATTTCCACACAGCAGTGATGGAAGCCGGAAGACAATGGGATGAATCCATTAAATTTCTGAAAGAAAATAATGGCTATTTTATCTTTTTTTTTTTTTTCTTTAATAATGGCTATTTTAGTATTCTACACCCAGTGAGAATATTCTTCAAAAGTAAAATGAGGACTTTCTGCTTCTGATAATGTTGAGGTAGGTTGTTGAAGACCAGCCCTTCCACCTAAAGTAACTAGAAGAGCTGTGCAACACACCGTCCAATAATCTGTGTAAAAGCATTCGACAGATAGAGACGGTCAGGTCCCAGGTGTTCCGGTTACAGAGAGAAATACATTCACGTGCGTCTGAAATCTATGAATATAACAGATTTCCTCTTTGAGGTACCTGCCAAGGCCTGAGTGACGCAGGGTGTGGGGCCTCAGGAGCAGAGAGCAAAGCTTTAGGCCAGGTGCAGAGGCTCACACCTGCAATCCCAGCACTTAGGGATCCCAAGGTGCACAGATCACCTGAGCTTGGGAGTTTGAGACCAGTCTGGCCAACATGGCAAAACCCCCCATTGCTACTAAAAATACAAAAATTACCCAGGCATGGTGGCATGTGCCTGTAATCCCAGCTACTTAATTAGGAGGCTGAGGCAGGAGAATTGCTTGCACCCGGGAGGTGGAGGTTGCAGTGAGCCGAGACTGCACCATTGCACTCCAGGCTGAGCGACAGAGCGAGACTCCGGTAAAGAAAATGAACAGAACTTTAGCTAAAAGACTGGGAACATGGCCTCAGATGTCAACAGGCTTAAGAGATTGAAGAGACGAGACATAACTTAGAGTTCAGAGATACCAAAGCACCCGGGAATGAAAAGAAGACAGGATATCAGACAAAAGGAAATGCCTTGAGGTAAGCCTGAGATTCTACACTGTGACTTTCTAAAATGGTACTGCTGGTTGGGTGAGGTGGCTCACTCCCATAATCCCAGCACTTAGGAAGGCTGAGGCAGGTGGGTCACTTGAACCCAGGAGTTTGCCACCAGCCTGGGCAACACAGCAAATCCCCATTTCTACAAAAAATACAAAAATTAGCTGGGCATGGTCATGCACACCTGTAGTCCCAGCTACTCAGGATGCTGAGGCGGGAGGATCACTTGAGCCCAGGTGGAGGCTGCAGTGAGCCCTGATCATGCCACTGCATTCCAGCCTGGGCAGCAGAGCAAGACTCTGTCTCAGAAAATAAAATAACATAAAATAAAATAAAATAAAATAAAATAAAATAAAATAAAACAAATGGCACTGCTTTTTAAAAAAGTATGTATTTTTTATGATTCATAAGTATTAAAGGACCAGGAGACAAAGAATCGGAACAAAAAGCAGCAGCTGAGAGTCGGGGAAACCACACAGGACTTTTGAAAGTCTTACAGAATTGAGAAAACAAAGCCTGGAGTTTAGGGCTGACAAGACAATGGGAGCCCTGGTCAGCCCCTGAGACCTCCAGTTAGGGACACCAGAGGGTCGCACTACAGCCTGGGATAGGCCAGACACAGAGACTCCTCACAAAAGGCTGAAACACAGTTAAGAGCAGCTGAGTCCTGGGCTAAATTACGGTGATTTATCCCGATGCTGATTTCCCAAAGTCAAAAGCAAATTCCCTCTGGAAGAAGCTTATATCCATGAAAGCCTTCAATTATCTCTATGAATTATATCTACAAAAACACAAAGTCTGTCATTCAATCAAAAATCATTAAGCATAGAAAAATAAAAAATTAAAAATTAAACAAAAAAATTAAGGATACTAGGAGACAAGTCCAAACCATTGAAAATAAATGAATAAAAGGCAATAGAAAGAGTTCATTAGGGGAAGCAGATGTTAGAGTTATCAAAGACTTAAAAAAGTATTATAATTAATATGTTTAAGAACATACTCAAGACAATGAAGAATGTTACCAAGTAATTGAAATATCTGTGAGAAGATGAGTGTGTGTGTGTGTGTGTGTGTGTGTGTGAATGGTTAAAATACCCATTTAAAAAGCAAAAATATTAATAAAGTAATATTAGGGTTTATAACAACACACACAGAAATAAAATATATAGCAGCAAGAGTGAAAAGGACGGAGAAGATGTCTTAGTAAATGTGAGCTGCTGTAACAAAATCCCTGAGACTGGGTAATTTGTAAAGTACAGAAGAGTATTAACTTATCTTCCCACATTCTAGAGACTGGGAAGTGCAAAGTCAAGGTGCTGGCAGGTGTGGTTGTCTGTCAAGGACCGCTCTGTGCTTCCAAGGCTGTGCCTTGATGCTGCATTTTCCGGATGAGAAGGATGCTGCATCTTCACGCGGTGAAAGGCAGAGGGAAGCTGAGTCACAAATGATGCAGGAAGCCTCTTTTGCAAAGGCTTTAATCTCATTGATGAGGGTGGAACCCTCGTGGCCTAATCGCCTTTTAAAGGTCCCACCTCTTAATGCTATCACAATTGGTCACTAAGTTTCCACACCTACATTTTGGAGGGGACACATTATAATCGCGGCAAGGGATAAACGGAGTGTATGCTGCAAAGGTCTTCTATTGTTTGCAAAGTAATATAATATTTGAGTGTAGACTGTGCGTATCGTAATTTTAGAGTAATCACTAAAACTAACAAAAAGGAATGTACCTAAAAACAACCCATAGAGAACATAACATGGGATACTAAACAAATACGCAGCTAACCCAAAAGAACGCCGGAAAGGAAGAACGTAAAAACATGTTTAAAACGTAAGACAGATAGATGCAAATGCCCAGATGTAAATACAGCGTATTAGCAGCTACATGAAGTGTATGTGGTCTAATGACCACTCTAATTAAAGATGAACGTCGTCAGAGTAATGATAAGGACTAGA